TAAATGAACACAAAATACATAATAGCCTCTGCCAAGAGCCTAGGATTTAAATGTACAAAGCTAGGATAAGAAAGGACTTAAAAACAGCACACTACAGGGACACAGCCACATCAATGTTTGTAGCAGCACAATTCACAATAGCTAAACTGTGGAGCCAACCTAGATGCCCTTCAGTAGATGAATGGATAAAGAAAATGTAGCATATATACACAATGGAATATTACTCAGCAATAAAGAGAATAAAATTGTGGCATTTGCAGATAAGTGGATGGAGGTGGAAAAGATAGTGCTAAGTGAAGTCAGCCAATCCCAAAAAAACAAATGCCGAATGTTTTCTCTGATATAAGGACGCTGATTCATAGTGGGGTAGGGAGGGGAGATGGGAGGAATAGACGATCTCTAGAGAGCGCAAAGGGGTGGGAGGGGAAGGGAGGGGGCATGGGGTTAGAAATGATGGTGGAATGAGGTGGACGTCATTACCCAAAGTACACCTATGAAGTACGAATTGGTGTGAATATACTTTGTATACAACCAGAGATATGAAAAATTTGTGCTCTATATGTGTAATATGAATTGTAATGTATTCCGCTGTCATATATAAATAAAAATTAATAAAAAAGACATAAAATGTAGCTGTATTAGCAAGAGAGATATTTATATATTCTAAACTAATTGGTCTTGTGATTAAGATCCTAGAATGAAAAACAACTCTGAGACACTGAACCCCTGCTTGGTAATTTTTCACTCAATCCTCCCAACAACTATTGACTATTATGTCCCTGATTTACAGATGAGAAAATAGAAACCAAGAATGTAACCTGCTTGAGGTCACAGGGCAAGTAAGTAGAAGAGGTGGGAATGAATCCCAATCCTCCACAGTCAGGCGCTTTTCACTATACCAACAGATCTCAAAAGTATGGCCTAGAAACCTCTGGGGGTGTCCAAGATGCTCTCAGGGGTCTGGAGAATCAAAATGATTTCCGTAAAACTACTAGCACACCATTTGCCTTTTTTACCATGTTGTCGTTTACACTGATGACACAGAAACAATGGAGGGTGAAGCTACTGGAGGCTAGCATAGACCAAGGTTGTGACACCAAGTGTCACCAACAGTCACTCCATTCCTCACTGCTCACTTGCAATACAGATCTGCCTTGTCACTTAAGAATGCCCTGGATGAAGCAGTAAAAACTAATAATTTTTCCTGGCACAGTGGGGCACACCTGTAATCTCAGTGGCTCAGGAGGCTGAAGCAGGAGGATCCTACATTCAAAGCCAGCTTCAGCAACTTAGCTAGGCCCTAAGGAACTTACTGAGACCTTGTCTCAAAATAAAAAAGGGCCTGGGATATGGCTTAGTGGTTAAGGTACTCCTGGGTTTAATTTCCAGTACAAAAAAAAAATTAAAAAAAAAAAACCCTAATAGTTTTATAAAGTCACAATCCTTGAAAACACACTATTTTTCTTATTACGCTATTGCTGGAGATTGGATCTGGGGCTTGTGCACTTGCCTTTGAGGTATACCCCCAGCCCCACATTTTCTTTTTATTCTGTAATGATATGGAAAGTTTGTATAAAGTATGTCTGCTGCATACCAGAGTACCCTAACTGCAGCTGAAGGAAAAGTACTTGTGCAAATGTTTGGGTTGAAACAAAACAAGCCAGTTTTCACTCTTTGTTCATTTTCTAAACAGAAGAACATTTTAACCTCAAAGAATGACTGTAAGCAATGAAAGAACAGACTTAAGAATTTGGCAGGTATTTTCTCAAAAATGAAAAAAGTGAGCCTATCACTTTGAGACAAACAACTACATTCACTGTCAATCATAAAATTCAAGATTTCAAGGGAAAAATTAGTATTTTGGAAATTTGCATCTACCACTTTTACACTTTTCTGATATGATCAATCGGGAAGTAAATGTGATTTTTGGCATACTACAACAACAAGACAGCCAGCCACCTCAATGTTTAAAGCAGGACAATTCATACTGCCTAAATTATGGAATCAATTCAGATGCCCATCAATAGATGAATGGATTAAGGAACTGTGGTGTATATGTAATGGAGTTCTACTGAGTCATAAAAAAAGAATGAAATCATGGCATTTACCAGTAAGTTGATGGAAATGGAGAATATCATGCTAAATGAAATAAGCCAAACTCAGAAACTCAAAGGTCAAATGTTTTCTCTCATACGCAGAAGATAGAGTAAAATAAAGGAAAGGGGGAGGGAAGGATAAGATTACATAAGGAACCAATCAAATATAAATTAACAGATGAGCAAAAGGAAGTCAAGTAGAGGAAAGAGAATAGGGGGAGGCTGAGGGGGATGAAGAACTGAAACTGACTTCCATGCATGTATGAGTTTTTTTGGACAAATCCAACTAATATGTATAATTATAAAGCTCTAATTTAAAAAATGTGATTTTTTGACTTTATATAAAGAAATATGTCAATATTTGGAAGGCATATTTAACTCAGTAAACTAATGGTTCCAAATGACCAATAAAGGATATTATGAAACCATGCATGGGTAAAAGATACTTTTTCTCACACATTTAAAGTATAAAAGGGGCCAATGGATTTTCAGTGTAATGGAATACAAAAACTTCATTGATGTTTTTAGATTCTACATTGCATCTCTTTTAAAAATCTACCACATCAATAATCTATAATTATCTGAAGAGGCTATTAAAATACTTCTCCCTTTTAAAAATAAGTATTGGAGACTAGACTTTCTCTGTAGTTCATACTTCAACAGACAGCATGAAGAAGCACATACAAGAACCTAGCTGTCCTTTACACCTGAGATTCAAGATGGTTCAAAAACTTCTCAATAACTATTTTAAATTGTGGAAAAGAGTCTCTCTTTTAAATAAAAATGTGATTTATGTTAATGTGTAATGGATTTATTGCTATTTTTATAATAATTTTCTTATATTGTGTAAATTTTTTCATTTTAATTTTGAACATAGTAAATACTGAGAAGTAATCCACATATTCATAAGCTTCTCCATTAATCTTGAATAATTCTTAAGTGTGTAAATCAGCCCTGAGATCAAAAAGACTGAATACCACTGCACTATGTATCATGCTATCTGCCTTTGATATTTAAAATAACAGGCTTGTCATAGTGGTATAGGCTTGTAATCCCAGCTACTCAGAGGCTAACGCTAGAGGATCACAAGTTTGAGGACTGTCTAGGCAACACAAGAAACCATCTCAATAAAAACAAAAACAAACAAACAAAACACAACAGACACTAGTTTGGCAATATGTAAATCAATGGATGTGTAACTGATGTGATTCTGCAATCTGTATATGGGGTAAAAATGGGAGCTCATAACCCACTTGAATCAAAGTGTGAAATATGATATATCAAGAACTATGTAATGTTTTGAACAGCCAACAATAAAAAATTAAAAATAAATAAATAAATACAAAAAAAATAGTAATTTTTCCCCCCTCTGGAAATACTTCTCCAAAAATTTAAATAAGATTACCAAGATAAACCCTAATTAGTATCTTTGATCACCACATGTGCAGACAGACCCAATCCTGTGGATCACGTGCACAAAGAGATTTATTTCAAAATGCTTGTAAATCCATCTTTATGCTACAGGTAGATCAAAAAGTACCCTCATCAATGAGAGAAAAGGCTAGGAAAACAGCTCTATCTACCTTAATGCTTTCAAACCAAGACCTCTGCCAGTGCGTAAGGAATGATGATTTCTCACTAACAGTAACAGGTGGAAACAAACAGATTCCCTGACAGCTAAAATTGAGGGAGTGTTTTCAGTTAGTAAAAAGAATTATTGCTGACATTCCAGGGGTAGAGGGAGGGAAACACTTAAATCTAGCTATTTGTAATATTTCATCATAAAATATCAAGATGACATCAAATTTCATTAAAAGGCAACTTTTAAACACAGTTTAAAAATAAGAGTAGAGCCTCTTATCTTTGAAATTGGTATTAAACCTTTGGTAAAACTGTCATTTGGCTTGAAAGAGAGCAATAAAAAGTAGAAGTGACTGCTCAAATGCCAACAGTTTTGTTTTCTCCATTCCATGAGAAGATGGCTGAGAGCAAATAGGAATGCTATATTATTTGTTTTACCAAACACACACACACATGCTTATAAACAGAACTAAGAGTAAAATAAGTTCATTTCTTACAGAGCTAAGAGTATAAATATTTACATACTTAACTTTTAACTCATCTTAATTTTTAATAGGTTTAAAAGATCTTACAAAATATTAAAATGGCATTTTTTGTTATGCTGCTTAGGTCTACCAGCCAAATGTGCCCCTAAATGCCTGAAAACTAAAACACTATCTCAAAATAAGTCAAATTACAACTTTATTTCCAAACCAAAATACAGAAAATACCAAAAGTCAGTGAGCTTTCTAAGTTGAAATGGCACCTTAAAAGCATAGAAAAACTGGTAAGTTAGGAAGCTCAGCACTGGTGATAGGAATGATAATAAAGACATCATATTTTTCATGTACGTAGTATTAAACTAGAGTTATCTTCAAGTGAACCATAAAAGCTGGCCCATTAATCCTACTGAATTGTACACTTAAAAATGGTAGAAATGGCAAATTTTATATTACATATATTTTACCAAAATTTTAAGAAATTAATAATGTAATATACCAAAACCCATGGGAGTATATACTTTAAAGGGAAGAACTGTATGATGTATGAATTATGTCTTAATAAATATATTTTAAAAACAGCAACAAAGCTGCCCCACTTCTAGGTGCCCTCTGTGCCATGCAGGGAAGGAAACCATGACCAGTGCTAGGGTAATCATTAGCATGGAAGTCCACGTTACAGAGATCAACCAACCAGAGGAAACATGCTCCAACAAGTGGGAAGATGTATGAGAGTCACCGTCAGTAAGATGAGTTAGTTAAAGGATCTTTGACTCCTTGACTTCTCTAAATAAATTGTATAAGGTAAATGAAGAATGTGTTCAAATAAAAAGTCACATACTGGTTCCTTTAAGCTTATTTAATATTTGAACTCTTATTTTCTATTTTCCCAAACCCCAGAAAACAGAAAGATTTTAGATGACCAATATTTTGTTCCAGAAACATACAGCCTTAACAGCTAGTTCATAAAAGAGCTATTTTACAAAGGTACATCTGGATAATTAGAACAATAAAGTCTTTTAGGCATTTCAAAATGTGATCAGTAAAAATACATGATTATTAATAAAGTTTTTAAAAGATATTTCCAGATTTTTTAAAAGCAATTTCTGTTAAAGAGTACATGATTGTATGGTGAACAAGGAAAATAAAATGTTCTAGTAGGAAGAGGCTTATTAAAAATAACCAACAGTGTGCACGTTACAGTTACCATTTTTGCAGTATACCTGCTTAGCAGTTGGCACCTGGGAATGGCAGGGAGGCTTCCTTCTAGGAAGAACATTTTTTTTTTCCTACTAATTTATTATCAAAACCCTCAGTTCCAGTGGGGAAGGCATAAGGTACAAGACAAAAGGAACTCTTCTTAAAGGAAGAATAATTTTGCAGATCACTCTGAAAAGGGTGCAGAAATGTCAGAAAAACATGATTTAAAAAACAAAAATTGTACTACTGGGGGGAGGGTAGGCTAGCCCACAGTTAGCTGCTATAAGTTCCTGCTAATTTTGTATTTTGAGGTCCTATGCACACAGTTCTCAATGGTGCCCTCTGTGACATGCAGGAAAGGAAACCATGACCAAAGCTCTAGTAGTTCCAAATAACATCATATCAACTTCAGAGAAGAGGACTTCCAGTGTGAGATACCAACACCTCAAGAAATGTGCCAAGTTTACTAACATCAAAGAAAAAAAAAAAAAGATGCGAGTAAAAGAAAACTCACAGGAAATGTAATTCTTTTAGCTTCTAAATAATTAAAAGAGGGAAAAAAAAGGCCTTTCTTCTGTATTACCACAGTCACTTCTTTCTCCCCCCAAAACAAACAAACAAACAAAAATTTTTAAAAGGGGATTCATCCTAATAGTCATTAGAAGTTGTTTTGTGGGAAAGAAAGCCAAAAATCTTAGGAAATCTACCTCCCATGCAATGTAAGAATTACAATTTAGGTTCTAAAAGTCAACATAGCTCAGGAAGTTCAAGTTAGCTGATTTTAAATTACACAAAAACATACGGTCATGGCAATAATCTGATTTTAAATTATAGCACTTTGGGGGATTGCTGATTTGCCTTGATTAAGTCTATTCTCTAAAAAGGAAGGAGACCCTCCAAATGTAATTTGCCACTTAACAGTAAAAGAGCCAGTAAGCCCACAGGAGAGAACAGAGTATCAGTGCAGGTCACTTCCATAGCCAACATGTAACTTTCTGGCTTAGGGAAGGTTGTTGTCTGCCTCCATCACACTCCTCAGTACAACAGCAGATTCCAACTTCTAGTTATGTAACTTTGAGAAAAATCCTTTAATGGTAACCAATTTCACTCAAAGTCAGGAGGAATATCTAATTCTATCTTCCCTGAAGGGGGAGAGATATAATATGAAAGTCAAACAGATGTGATTATAATGGCCAAAATGAAATCAAAGTGTGGGAGGTCAGGTTAGGAAGGAGAAGGGAAGAAATTAGGATGGTAAGGTCAAAAGAACACTAAAAGTAGTAGGATGGATTTCAGAATTAACTTTATCTTGGGGCATGAATGTATTTCAAAGTACTAGAGCTACAGTCAAAGTATTTTTCCAGTTAGGCCTGTTTAGCCAAGGAAAGGCTAAATTGCAAGAAAAGAGAAGTAAATAATTACTAAGAACAAAATACTGGCTGAACTAGAAGAGAAACCCAAACTTTGCTAACTTACAACCTTCTTGAGTGCTAAAGAATTATGTAATGACCCTGTAGTGTCTTTCTCCTGAAGGTTTTAGTGTCAAGTGGCTACAGGTTTAACCCTTTTTATTGGAAGTGACTACACTATTTCCAGCAGCACAATGTAACCATTTGGTTTCTACTTGCTTCTCCTAAGAGATACAGAAAAGTTCCAAATTCCAAGCTTCACTTATTTGTTAGCTTCTGCCTCTAAACATTTTCAATTTCATTCTGAGTTAAATTATACTTGGCCTATGACTTGAAATATAATTTCAATTTATAGATGAGGTACAAAGATCCAAGTTGATCTACCTAAAAACATAGATCAGTTTTGAAAGGACAGAAACAGGAATCTGGATGCAGATAAATAAGCTTGTTAAGTTGTAGTGGTGTTTATAGAAGTAGTTGGGAATCCTCACCATTTGTGGTGAGAAAGCTTCTGTTTTTGAGGAAGGGGGCTGCAGCGAAGAAAAAAATTACATCCTGATTACCCACAGAGTTCAGAGGGCACTACTGAAAGATGTGAACAATGAGTGAACTCCTTCTTTATTAACAGAATTTACAACTTTGACAAATGAATTCATTTTAGTTGGCAAAATACTCCAGAAATACATTTACCTAATGTACAAAGAAAACCACAGAAAGCCAATATAAATGAAGGAGTTCTCAAGTTATAATTCTGACATATATATCCTCTGTAGGTGCTGCCAATACTGCTATTCATCCTAGAGCAGGCAGTTACCAACACTTTGCCTGCAGTATCCAGTGTATGCTCTGGTCTGCAATTCCTAAGGTCAGTCATGGCCCAGTTTGGACAGAGTTGTGGCAGTGAGGTCAGAGGAAGTGATTCTGGAGCTGGTGTGAGCAGTTCTGCCTCCTCCACCACATCTTTTTCACTCCACCCTGGCTCTCCTCGTGACTCAAAGAGCCCTTTGGCACCATCAGTGCAAAAAATTAGAGTCAAACCTCCAGGTACTAATATTTTACTGGCCTTATAATCAGCAGTACCCGTGGCTTAAGATAGCCATGGTTCAACTCAGTAGTGATTCATTTTAGATAACCTTCCCAAACTCTTTACCCACCCCCATCCCACCCTTCCTTAGCAACCCCCACCACCACTGAAGCATTTCCATTTATTTGTTCTTACTTCCTGCTTAATCTGCAGGAATGATTTTACAAGTGCCAAAGTCTAATGTAGAATTATAAAAATGAAACAATACCAAGAATAACAAATTTATAGTCAAGAAAATAAAAAATTTGCTTTCCTCTCCCTCCCAAATCCCAACCCTCATTAGAAAAGATGACAACAGAAGAGAATACACCCATTTTCAAGTGCCTGCTATTTAGTATGTTGAGGATTCCTGTTAATTGGGGGTATATTCCAGCTACAGAGAAGCAGTGCTTGCATTAAGGTAGGAGGAAGCCCACTACTCTCTGACCTCTGGGCAGCACATAGCTCACATCTTCTGCACATAGGGACCACCATGCCTTTGAGGTGACCCTCAGAAAATCAGCCTGCTGCACAGCAGAGAGTATGGAACACAATTAGTGAAGATAAGATGCTTTTCCTCCCTCTGCTTCATCTCCTCTCTACCCAACCTCCTAATACCCCATCCTGACCTTTTCACTTCAGGAGCAATTGATCCTTGGGTGTACTAAATACAAAGGGCCAGAACTCTCACTACTCAATTAAAATAAAACAAGGCAAATAAAAATTAAAATGTGCTTTCAAATACGGATGAAGTCAAATAAATACATCTGATTTTCTTTTTCTTATGTCTAAGTACAATTTCATATCCTACACCCAAAGCTCTATACATTTGGTTTTTGTTCTGAATCAAAACGACTTTCCGACAGTGAGGAGAGGAGAGTGAGAGAATAGACGTTCCCTCACTGACAGACCAGTGCAGCTGCCAGACTGTGACGAACTAGTCCTGCTCTGGGCACCTCAGGACATGGTTAATCCCAAGTGGTTCACAGGCAGTTCCTCTGTCACACTCTCTCTGTGTCCACACTGGAACCAGGATGTGGTTGATACAAGGCCAATGCTCAAAATCCAACAACCTGCAGTCACCTCCAGGACACTCAGCTTTTAACTTTTATCTGAGAAAACATAAAGATATGTGGAAATCTGCTTAAAAACAAATGAACACTGCAAAGAATACCATGAAATCTGTAGGCATGGTTATACATTTGTTTCTGAATCAAAAAAGCATAAAAGCATACCCAAAAGCATACAAGCAAATAAATATAAACTGCTGCACTGAACAGACCCAACCGCAGTCAAGGGGAGACACTGTCCCTGTCAGAAGAGGCATGAAAGCACAGCAGGACCTGAGGAACAACCCTCCATATAAGGGAGTCACACCAGCACATCTCACCCTGAATCTGTGATTTACCAGACCTCCCACAGCTCCACCTTCTGCTTTCGAAAAGGTGGAGAGAGAGAAGGAAGAGAGTATAGCATGGGAACTGACAACTGCAGTTCTTTTGCAAGAAAGAATAGCAGAGTCAGCAGACAAGAGCTTTTGCTTGATTTATGATGTTTAAAAACAAATAGTTTTTAAAGACAGAAAAGAAATGGAATCTAGGAAGGTTTTCATTTTAAAGAATAATAAATCATTTCATTCAATGTACTGTTCAGGCAGGATGATGCTAAAGTTGGGAACCCATAATTTCACATACCTGAGTGCTTGTCTGTGAGGGCTGATCCAGCCAGCCTTTGGCAAAGAATGGTATAACTTTCTTCCACCTTCTGTAAAACAAAACCACAGTTTTTTCATTTGGACATTATAAGAAAAACAAATTTTGTTAGCAGGGGCAAAAAGTAAATTTCCTTTTCCCATTTCTTCCTTGAATTAATAGCTTAAAACTTTCCCATGTAAAATGAAAGCAGAGGGGGATACCCAGTAAAGGCAATTCTCCTATCACAGGAGTCACCCTGAAAATGGCCCCACCCCCTGTGGCATAAACTATATAAACAACTTGCCCACAGTGGTTTTCTGGCTATCTCATCTCATCAGCCATAGGATGATATCACATATAATCATATGAAGAGGTGAAAATCTATCATATGAAATTAAAAGAAAAGCTAAGGGAGACCAGTCTTGAGCTAAAAGGCTAAGAACACTTTAAATCTATCCCTAAAGCCTTCCAACTAAACGATGTCAGGAAAAAGCACGTGGGCTCTAGTAGTGTTGTCTACTAGGGGCCAACCTGAATAGGGTCCTACTCAACCTGAATAGGCCACACAAGTCAGTTTTGAAACGGTAATAACTTCAATTACTAGTTTTAAAGAATTGCATTAATGTTCAAGTTTCTGGATTACAGAAGCCACTGAAGCCAATTCTACCCATCCTGGCATCTGGGAAACTACCAACATTACTTAGTGAGTCACAGATAATTAACAGGTTACAGCAAGTCAGAGCATTTCCCTGCTGAGATTCACAACTGTGTAAGCACCACCCAGCTCAGCTTACTGTTACTGTCATCTGATGGAGGGCAGCCAGCTGCCCCAAGCACTTTAAGCTTCTTGAGAAACCCACATAAACCATAGTTATAGAACTACAACTTTTTCTATTCTTTTTGATTTGTCACAAAATAAACAGTATCGATCTTAGCTTTTTATCCATGCTTACTCATGAAAATGGTCAAAGAAAACATATGGTTTTAGAACCTGAAAAAGTTTATCAACATGAGCATTTCAGTCATTCCATACATCCTCTCTGATAAATGTGTTTCTTATAATCAAGTCTTGTGGATGCTCAAGTGGGAAGTACCTTTAAGTGTTCAAGGTCAGCCTCTATCTTATGAATGTACTCCATGATCTGGCTTTGTGAATCTGTATAAGAGGAGGGGCTCTGGATCTCAAAACAGGAATCTTCCATAGTTCCCCAGCGCCGCTGGACCAGGAATTCTGGGGTGAATGGCGAACCTGCCCCATCAGAATGAGCATTCTGGGGAGAATGCTGCTGATGGTGAGTGGAGTCCATAGAAGGGATGCCTGTCACAGGCTGCAGGGTAAATGAGGAAGCAACCTCCTCATCTGTGGAGCTCTCCTGCACCGTTTCATAGCCATCGAGGATCAAACAGTTTCCTATTGATGGAGTCAGAATAGTTAGATGAGATTAGTACTGCTATCAGGACATCAGAAAATAGAAAATAGAGACGGGGTTATATGCTGACAATCTGAAATGCTATTAACAAAGGGAAAAGCCATTAACACCCAAGCTTAGTTTTAAATCCATCAGAATTTTCTCACTTCAGATTAAAGCTAAACCTGGCAAGCTTTCAAGGTAACCTGTGAATAATTTCATATTAGTTGGCATTTTAAAAGTTTAGAGCTAAAAACAAAGTCCCTATATGATCTTGTCACCACCTCCCCTGCCAAATACCTCTCTTACTTGGTTTCTTACCGTTTTCTTCCTGCCCTGTAAAACCTCCATAAATACAAAAAGCCTGTTCCTGACATGCAGCTTTGACTCCTCTGCTCTCTGCGCCAACACTGCTCCCAGGTATCCACGTGGCTTTTCCCTCATTTAATCAGGTACTACTTGACAGAGGTCCTCTTTCCAATCCCTATCTGCCTCATTACTCTGTACCCCTGTATCCCAACATTTTTCTTTCTAATGCTTCTCACTATCTGACATCTACTTGTTTTTTTTTTTTTTTTAACATTTAGTTTTTAGAAGTAGTTGGACACAATACCTTCATTCTATATATTTATTTCTATGTGGTGCTGAGGGTCAAACCCAGGGCCTCACACATGCTAGGTGAGCACTCTACTGCTAAGCCACAATCCCAGCCCTTAATTTGTTTTCTTATTTACCATTACTCTTTCCCCTACTAGTACTCAAGCTTCATGAGGAGACTTTTTCTGCATTTTATATACTGTTGTATCTCTTAGCCCCTAGCATGAGGTCTGGTATAAGTAGATTCAGGAATTATTTATTGAATGAGGAATATGTACTATACACATGTAGGCATATATGCAAACACAAATAACATTCATTCCAGCATACAAAACATTAACAATAATCAAAATCAAAGTTTAAATGTGAAAGAAACTTGCCTGAGATGCGTAAATTAACATCCTTCTCCTCCTTTTTAACTGCTCCATCACCTTCTGATGGATTATCATCACTATGTGCTTCACGGGCATCAAAAAAGTGCTCTCCACTCTCATCAAGACCCCCTTCTGGCTCTGTGGCAGGCATCTCTGGGGTCATAATCATGTGGTCCATTACTAAAATGTTACTTGCCTGGCTATCTTGGGATGCCAGTACCACTGAATCCCGTGGAGCAGAAGATTCAGTTGAAGTCCGTGGACTGTAACAAGCTGCAATGTCACCAGTTCCAGTTCTAAAGGGCATCTGTCCTTCACCAGGATAAGCCTTTGTATTTTCAGAGTTCTGGATTTCACTATCTGCCTGCACCCCCTGAGAGGTTATCCTGTAACTTGGGAAACGCTGCCAGTCTTCCTGAGTGTTCTTCTCAGTCAAACCTAGCTGCTGTACCAGCAACTGCTTCAACAGACCCACTAAAGATTTAGAATGGGGGAAAGAGAAAAAAAAAAAAAAAAGGAAAGCATATTTATAACCATAGCCTCAGACAGCCAGAATCAGTTAGCTGAGTTTCCAATCATCTCCAAATCTAAGCACCTTTTAATAACATGTTGCCAAAATACCCATTTTATACAATAACCTTAAAAAAAAAAGCATCATCTTCTACAAATGAGTTAACATTAAACTAGACTCAACAAGAGTTAAGCATCATGAATAGGGAGGTACTCCTCTTTAGAAAAAAAACCCAAACACCAACATCATGTCTCTATTTTGTTTTCTATATAAGTGGACTAAAACTCAAAAGGTACTTAAGGATGTTGAAAGGCTGTCTAAACTAGACAAACAAAAAAAGCTAAAATTTCTGATTTTTCCAGGAGAACACTATATACATAGGCATTATTTTTTCTAGTTTTATTAGCCACATAGAACATTTATCATTATTAATAATACAAAGAATCTCCCTACATGGTGAAGAAGAAAATAAAATTGCCCTGTAATAATTTAATTCCTATTTTTTGGTAGTAGTGTATCTAATTTCCAAAGATAAGAAGATATTCATCTGGTTTTTAAAAATTATCTTACTAGCTGTATAGCTTCTATATGTTGTAGAAAATAAGAACCAATTAAACTATGAATGAACTAATAAATTTATGTTGAAGTCACTCGTACAATGACAGAGTTCTAGGGCAATGTTAGTCAAACTATCAGAGATCACCAAGACTAGAAGGGCGCATCAGTGCATACCTGTAATTTAGCAGTCAGGAGGCTGAAGCAAGAGGATGTAAGCTCAAAACCAGCCTCATCAACCTAAAGAGGCCCTAAGCAACTTAATGAGACCCTGTCTCAAAATAAAGGCTGGAGATGTGGCTCAGTGGTTAAGTGCCCCTGGGCTCAATCCTTAGCTTTTAAATAACTTTAGCTAATTTCCTACTTTCATCCTGGGCTTAATTTCTATCTTATGTTTCTTTAGGAAATTAGTTTCCACATGTGTCTGAGTGTCTAACCCTCTCTTCTGTCTTTCACTACATTCACTTCCTGAGAGGTGTCATGAATTCTTATGGTGTTGACACTCAAATATCTCCCTGAAATGCCAACTTTGTGCTACTCACTTTCTCTTGAATGGTTTGCCACTCATTATCTAAATGTTGACATGACTTAAAATGGAGCCCATAATCTGTGCCAAATCATCAAGTGGGGCAAAAAGAGGTAGGGAAGGTGGTATTCTGACTAGAATATTGAAATTATCTTTACATTTTTGCTTTCCTTTGCCCTCACATCCAAATAAGTCAAACGCTCTAAGTATTTAATGATTCCTTAACTTCATTTCTACTCCTAAAACCATTCTAGTCCAAACCCTTTCAGGCTCAAATCCGGACTACTATAATAACTTACTTAGTAAGCATATCACTCCAAGCCTCTTTCTCTTCAAATCCTTGTATGATTTTTAGCTCAATTAATCTTTTTTCATTTATACCCTAGTTTAAAAACCTCAAATGGTTCTCTACAGCTATACCAACTGTTCTTGGACTTTTCCCCACCTTATTACACCTGAGAGATGTATCTTCCTATTTGTAACAGTGATTCTCAACCAGTCCAGAGAGGGAAGGGGGCAATTAATAGAGTGGGGTTTGTGTGCGGCAATAATCTGTGGTAGATAATATGATAATTTCCATGAGAAAGGTAGAAGAATATGTGTAGTTTGAAAAGGCTCTTAAAACATGGTAATATGCTATCCTTGAAGTATAGAGTGCCCAATTTGGTATTCAAAGTTCACAATGGCTAGGCTGAACAGCACATTTTTTTTATCTTTTCAACTTTTCCCATAGTCCTGTAACTTACAGCCTCTACCATAGGCCAGTTAGTCTGCTTACTGTCTCTGAACACTTGCACAGTTTCCTGCTGATGCTTTTGGTCTTACCAGTATTCTGGTCTAAATGGCTTCTATTCTATGCACCTGTCTGAATCTTACCCATCCTTCAAGACAATAATCACATCTTTCTTGTTCTCTAATGCCTTTCTCTGATCATTCTAACCCAAATCAATTCTGACATACCTGCATTGTTACTGTTTGAATGTTTCCTTAAAAAGGTACAGGTAGGGTGGGTAGGGGTTTCTATCATCTTTCCAAATAGACTGTAAATATCTTGAAGGGAAAAGTTTAAACACCTTTGGATTCTTCCTAAATGGCTGTTCAGTACATTATAGAATGCTGGTACTTAATAGGTATCTGCAGTAATTTATGAATAGAACTTACAATTCCTTAGTGCATCCAATGCCCACCGTTCTTCTGAGACAGGCAAGTTTGGATCTGGGATTGTTATTTGATAATTTTCTCCACTTTCCTTTAGTGTCCCATCTGTATGCTGTTCCTTTGCAAACTGTCCCTCAGTCACAAAAAGATCATCTGCCTCTGATTTCCCAGAGATACTCAGTGAATGAGACTGAGGTTTTGATGATATTAAGGGAGACTCTAATCCCAAATCTCTGTCTGTTTAGTGGAACAGAAAAGGTAGAGTATATTTCAACAAAAAGTTTAACTTTTAACATGAAGCATTCAGAAAATACTTAGAAAAAAAGAGCACATAAGTTACAAAGCATCAAGTAAAATACACAGCACATAAAGCAATGTTATACTGGCACACAGAAAGTTTACAAGTTGAGTTTGTTAAATTGTATAGCTGATGCCAGCAACTGTGTAAACCAAAAGTTTCAAACTTTCTTTAGGTAATTTCAATAGGTAATAGGCTACATTTGTTCATTCTTATCAGTTTTTGTGTTTGATGGTGCTGAGGACTGAACCCAGAACCTCATGCATGCTAGACAAGCATTCTACCACTTAGCTAGCTACATCCTCAGCCCCCATTCTTATCCTAAGAGATAAGTTTACCTGGACTTTGTAGACCAGTGACTGAAATGCCATGCTGTTCTACTTTTAATTTTGGTGGTTCTTCTTCATCATTGTCTCCTCTGTAGGAAGAAAACAACAACAACAACAACAATCTTTCAGCTTCATGAGGTACCTAAACATCACTGCAAACAAATATAAGAATTACCCATCTCTTTTCTAACCCAAACTACAAAATAAGTCCTATTACAACACTAGGGAACACTTACTCGCAAGCTGGTGACTGTAATGGAATTGGCTTTGTGGATTGCTCCTTCACTGATGCAGCCATTCGACAGATTAGGTCCTGCCAGCTTCGTGAAGTTTGAAAGAAATCCAAAATACAAGAAGGAAAAAAGAAATACACTCAGAAAGCAAAAATAAAAGTGAAACAAAAACCAAACTGACCGAACCAAAAACTCCCCACTCTGCCAGAGACTATTATTCTGGCAACACACTATTAAGTTAAGATTCCAAAATCACCCTTGAAAGAAAATTCTAACAACATGGGCATATTACCCAGTAAAACAATTCACTTGATACTTCTGAGAAATTTTTCTTTAGAAAATTTACTTGTAATAGAACAGAATCAAAAGACATCAATGTTAAAAGGAACAAGTTCTTAGAGGAATGTTTCTAAGAGAATATAGAGGAGAGCTGGGGATATAGCTAAGTTGGTAGAGTGTTTGCCTTGCATTCAAAAGGCCCTGGGTTCAATCCCCAGCACCACATTAAAAAAAAAAAAAAAAAAAGGATATAGAAGAAGTGCTTAGTTTCAATATAGATTTTGGTTTATAAAGTCTATTATAAAAACAAGTTCATGGAATATTATCCTTGGGATAATAAAAAATGTTAATTAGAACAAAGAAGCTAAATCTAATACATACACAGTCTTTTCAGAGACTGTCTGTGCCACCAATTCATAAATTTGGGCTCCGTTGTCTGACATGGAGATGACAAATAAAGCTTTGTTGTCTGGAAAAGAACAAAACAAAACTTACTTACTAATATGATCTAGAGAGTTCATAAGGGATATTTCTAGGGTCTTAATTTAGATAAAGGTTGAATATGCTCACATTGCAAAAATTCATCAAGCTGTACATTTTAATTATGAGCAACTTACTGTATGTTTTACTATATATGTTACACTTCAATAGAACAAAGATTATAAAAATTAACACTAAATTCCACAATAGTTAGAAAAAGATGTCAAAATCTAAATTACTAAACTGAATGCTATTATTCTTTTGCATTTATTTTGAATTGCCCCTTTGCTAAGTTGTCAATAACATTCAGTGAGTATTGAGAAAAAAGATATCATAAATTTACTTTGCCTTCATATAACTAACAAGTTTTGAAAAGGATCATTGTAATACAGTTAAAATACAACTTGCCAACCTAAACTGGCTTTAATAAACCCAAACTACACACACCTCTTCAGTTATCAAAAAACATACCACTCTAATGAAAGTCTTCTCATTGGGATTACCTCTCAATGCACTATCTTCATTGGCATTTATCAATGATTTGAACACAGAATAAAGACCAAAATAACTGCAAAAAAATTTCTAAATGCAGAAATCACTCAGAGAATCTAGGCATCCCAAGTAATTTGGGGGTATAAACTTTAAATTTCCTTTCTAAACAGTAAATAAACTGTATTTCATTTGCCTAAGAATAGCCAATTGTGCTAATTAAACAACAGTGACTACTGATGCAACTTCATAATTCATCTGGAGGTTACTATCCTTTGGTGGACATACTCACCCGTTGCCACTTGTCGAACCAACACTGTATTCAACTTAATGACAGGACTAAATGTGTGTTTGCTATCAGCTGTAGATGCCAGAATCTTACTATGACACCTTAACACCAGCCTATCATCCTGTTTTTGTAACAAAACAAGAATGTCCTCCAGCAGCAATGTGTACAGATCTAGAAATAAAGATGTAGAAAAGGTAATAAGTACAGAAACTGAGATATGTTTAATAAACTTTAAAAGAATGTCACAAAGAAATTTTTTTTTTCTCCATACTGGGGATTGAACCCAGGGGTGCTTAACCACTGAGTCACATCCCTAGCCCTTTTTAAATATTTTATTAGAGGCAGGGTCTTGCTGAGTTGCTAAGTGCCTCACTAAGTTGCTAAGACCGGCCTTGAACTTGCAATCCTCCTGCCTCAGCCTCCTAAAGCCACTGGGATTACAAGTGCACACCTCTGTACCTGGTTGAGAAATTTTATTTCTGATAAAGCTAATAAATTTGAAAATTGACATTGGTATTCCTTCCTCCCTCCCTCTCTTCCTTCCTTTCTCTCTGTACTGGGGATCAACCAAGGGCCTTACTCATGCTAGGTAAGCATTCTGTCATTGAACAATATCCCCAGCCCTGTGATTTCTTTCTTTCTTTCTTTCTTTCTTTCTTTCTTTTTTAATTTTTATTGTATTTTACCAAAGTGAGTCTGTAACCAATAGAACTAAAGAACAATATTCTCTCACCACATATAATTTGAGAGGTAATGGTCTAAAAAAAAAGCTGATTATAAAGATTCATTAGAATACAATAATGATGGAAATGGGACCGAATCATGAAAAAGTTTTCTGCTGCATTCCTAAATGAATATTTCACACACACACATATATATAACAAATAACACAAATAGAAGTCCTCTAAATAGCACTGCTAACTCTCTTAAGGGAAAATTGTAAATGGTTCTTTCTTCTTCCCTTTGGTAAAATGAAATTCTTATTCTTTTCCTTTTTCCACTCTTCTCAAAACTGACAGATAATATCAGACTCACCAATACTTTTGTCTCTATTCACCTTCCAAACCAATGGTCCTTCATGAATCATCTTCCTTTTTGTTAAATCCAAATTCTGCCAAAGAAAAGAAAGTTACACGCAAATTATTTCCAAGCACTCAATGAGAAGGTATTCTGTATAATATTCTGTTTCTTTTCAAAACATTCTTAATATAATGAATACCATTTACATTCAACTATTATTATGCTCTCTGTCTTGAAAATGGAATAGTTTACATTCAAGTAACCTGCTTCTCTCTATCTCTCCCCCTCCCCCGCACCCTCTGTGTGTGTGTGTGTGTGTGTGTGTGTGTGTGTCCCCAGTGTGCAAAACAATTTAAAGTATAATTTTAAAAAACTTTAAAAAAATTAACCTACATAAAATCTCTTAAATAGGAAAGGCATCTTGGAGAAAAACATTCAAGAGTATTATCTTTCAACTCTCACTCCAAAGAGATAATAGCTTATGATAACGAAATTACAAGCAGTAAACCAACTCATTCCCAATCCATCTCTTAACTGCAATAACCGGATGAGGGTGATGTACATGCTTATCTATAAGAGGCTTCTGAGTTCAAAGGTTCTAATTGCAAATAAAGCTTTAAGGCACAGCATTCACCATGAAAAGTCCAAGTACTATTATTCATGCTTACTCTAAAATCAGTAGCTTTTTAGTAAGAGAATCATTTTTTAGCATTAGCAGCTCTCGGAAAACCTTTTTGGAAGTCAATGGAATAAGTACATTAGCATGCTTCTTGATAAACTGTTACATGTGACACAGAAATCTATTTTAAATAGTCACCAAACGAATCTGCCAAAACAACCACTTAATGAAATGGTATAAAAAAGATTCATCGCGCCTAAAAAGTTTATTAGTATAAAAGTCCACATACAAGTGATGCAATTAGAAAATACTATTATTCCTGCAATGGTTTCAAGTTTTTATATTTTTCAAGAGCTTCACAGAAAAATAATTAAGTTATTCTGCTTTATTCAATCATCTGGAAAGTTCTTGTAGTAAACAAGCTATAGAACATAATAAAATGGGCCAGGGATGTAGCTCAATGGTAGAGTGATTGCCTAGCATGTGCCCAGCACCATTATAAATAAATAAATAAATAGTTTAAAAAAAGAGAGAGAGAAAGAATACAGTAATATTACTAATAATTAGTGTTCCTTAGTCTCCTGACAATTCCTGTCATGTAAAATTATAGTTTTTCACAAAATGATCTAAAGACAAAAATAATTCTTACACAGATAAGACATTTAAAAAGCAGAATAAAATCATAAATAAAGATAATCTATGATATAGAACTCCTTCAAGTGATGAATATTCCCACTAAGATGTTAATTACCTGCCAGGTCTTTAGTACATTCTATTTTATTTTTAAAATTATGATTAGACCATCTCTCACCCTGAGCTCTTCAACATTTGGATACTCTGATAACTTCAGATTGGAGGTATCAAGGCGACGCTGATAATCTTCCAAGCGCTGAAAATCAGGATGGAGCCAAGGTTACTGCTTTGGTCATCAATGACCTCTCTGTTTCCACATCAAGTGGACATAATTAATCTGTGTTGAACTGAGCTCACTGCAACACTAGACATAACTAACAACCATTCTTTCTTAAAACACCTCTTTGGCTTTAGCATTATTATACTCTATTAACATAACACATACCATTTATATTCAACTATTATTAACACTCTCTGTCTTGAAAGTGGAATAAAGTTTACATTCAAATAACCTGCATAAAATTTCTTAAATACGAAAGGCATTTTGCAGAAAAACATTCAGGAATAGTTTTCCTTCCTCCTCCTTGCCTGTCCCTTCTCAATCTTCTTTTCAAACTCATTGGCCTTTAACCATCTTATACTTCTGAATATGTAAATCATACAGATAGTACAAATTTCTGAAGGTTAGTATGGCAAACAACCCTGTTCTTTTGCCCTCTCTCTATTCCCAATTGTCTCTAAAGAAAGCACTAATATCTATTTCTTGGATGGCCATTAAGAAAAATCTTATTCAAAGAGAATACATGTATATACAACCGTGTGTGTTATGTGTGTATACACACGCTTTTAAGATGTGGTAGTATAATATATTCACACATCTATTTTTCTGGTATTCTTCATTCAATTGGCAGATTAATATATGTATTTCATGTGTGTGTGTGTATTAGAAGGGGTAGGTGATAGGAAATATATTTTGGAGATTGTTCCATATTAGCACATATATAGAGATAAGTCTCATGTTTTTTCAAAGACTATGTATAATATTTAACTGAATGAACTATAATTTAATCACCTCTTACTAATAGGCATTTTGGTGACTATCAGTCTTCTCTAATAACAAATAATACTGTAATAGAAAGACCTTAAACATATGCCTTTGTACACTTGTGCATATATATCTTCAGGATAAATTTCCAGATAAAAACACTGAATCAAAGGTTATGTGCATTTTTCTTCAACATTATGAAATTTCCGAATACACAGAAAAGTTTGAAATTGTGTTATGAATACCTGCATACCCACTACCTACATTCCACAATTAACACTTGTTTTGTTTTATTACATATTTATCCATCAATTCTTCCTGTATCTATCAAATCAATCCATTTTGTCTTTTGGATGCATTTCAAAATCATAGATCTAAGTATACACCTCCCCTAAATACTGCAGCATGCATTTCATAAACAGAAGTTCAATATCTGTGTAGAGTTCTTTAAGTAAAATTTAATAAGGTGAAGTGCACATATTTTAAGTGTATCTTTACATAATATTTGATAAATGCATATACCCATGCAATTCAAACTTCTATCAAGATATGAAATATTACCATCACCCCAGAAAGTTTCCTTCTACTTCTTCCCAGTTAACCTCCACATTCCCATTTTTCTGATACTTTTCCTACCATAGATTAATTTGGCCTCTTAGAAGTTTATATAAATAGTTATTTATATATAAGTATTCCTTTGTGTCTGGTTTCTTTCCAATCAGCATAATGTGAGATTCACTCCTTTTTATCTCCTGGCAGTATTCTATTTTATGACTACACCACAGTTGGTTTATCCACTCTCCATCTGATGAATTCTTAGTTGTTATGAATAAAGCTGCCATAAACATTCCGGTAAGTCTGTTTGTTCATTTCTCTTGAAATGGGTCAAAGGGTATGTGCATTTAATTTAGACAAACATTGCCAAATTTCCCTTAGGTTTTATCTTTTTACCCTCCAAACAATACATTAGAAAGTACCTACACTGTTGTTCTACAGCCTCACCAACAAAGCTGTCACCATACTTAGCTCCTAAGATATTACACTCATTTCCATGGGTTCAATTAGCCTCTGTATATTCAAAATCTGAAAATTTATCTTCAGTACAGTCCTCTTAAAGATGGACCCACATAGATAACTAATTACTGCATCTCTCCACCTCCTCAGATCTATCTCCACTCCTCCTGACCATCCACATATGCAAGCCAGAAACCTGTGTTTATTCTTGACATAGCCTCTCCTCAAATCTTTCTCTGAATCAATCACCAAATCCTGCCAATTTCATCTCCTAAATATTCCTCCAATTCCTGTCTCTCTCAGAGCCACCATCAGTTATTCTGGACTATGGTCAGACCCCTAACTTGTATCTCTCATTTAAAACCTACCTCTTTCAACCCACTCTCCACATAGGAGTATGAATGAAACCTCCCAGTAAAAATCTACACACCTCCAAGGTCTTCATGTCTATAATAAATTCCTATTGTTCTTGGAATAAAAATCAAAGTCTTTAACATGGTTGAAAGAACCCTCTGTTGTTTGCCTCTGGCCTACCTTACCTCATTTTATAGTACTCTCACTACTTTATAGGCACGATCCACATTGATCTAACAGTTGTTACTCAAACAGACTGGACTTGCTTTTATGTCACACATACTGCTTGCTCTCTATACCTGTAGGTTGTCCCTTTCCATGTTCTTTTGACTCACTTCTACTCATCCTTCCAAACTTGATTCAAACTTCAATTCCTCTAGGGAACTTTTTCTGAAAGTCATTCTAACATCTCAAAACAAGGTTAGGCCTCCTAGTGAGATACTTACTGATAGTATCCTTAAATTCTCCTTCATACAGTTACCAATACTGACTCAAAATGCTTGTACTAAAATCTGTTAAATGCCTTTTGATTCTACTAGATAAATGTTCAATGTGGAGAGTTATTGTGCTCAATTTCTTAATCCCTCTAGACTTGCTCCCAGCCTACAGTGTATGTTCCACAGAATAGATAAATGAATAAACAAACAGCAAGAGATGTTCAAAAGAGTCAAATACAACTCTGATATAACAAGTTGATCTGAACTTCTGGGAGTGATGGCACATGCCTATAATCCCAGTGACTCAGGAGGCTGAGAAAGAAAAATTACAAGTTTGAGGCCAGCCTCAGCAACACTGGAAGATCCTTGGCAAATTAGCAAGACTGTGTCTCAAAATAAAAAATAAAAAAATGCTTGGGATGTAGCTCAGTGGTAAAACACTCCTGGGTTCAATCTCTAGTACTTAAAAAAAAAAAAATCTGGACTCACATACTACATGTATAGATGTAAAGCTAACAAATGTCCTTGCCCATCAATCATGTAATGATAATTTCAAAGATCCTAGGTAATATGAATTTAATATTCTTTCAATGCCATCCTTATCTTCTTGCTTTTCCTTTTTACCTGTTTGTTTTCTGCCTCCTTGACAGCCTGATTTACATAATTTAAGATCTGACGACAGTGATCAGCAGCTTTCTTCACCTTCTCTCTTTCCATTGGCCATTCTAAATATGGGGAAGAAATTCAGAATGTAAAATAGGAAAAATTAAAAAAAGAAAAAATATATAAATATATACATGAGATTTCATCTTATTTCAACAGTTCATAAGAACATACTAAGACCCTAAATATTTTTATGCTAGGTTAAAATGTATGGCAGAATCTTGATTTGGATAGTCTTTGAATAGGTGAGACCTCTGATAACAATATTTTATTTTTTTTTTTTTGTGACCAAGAATTTTTTTTATTTGAAGTTTTCTAACAAAAAACTAGATATATTCAGATGAAAAATTTTACAGTATTGAAATAATTTATTATTTTAACCTGGTTCAAGAATTACTACATATCAACATACATAGTGTAAAAAATACAGCCTAAACAAATTGTATATTTAACTCATTATTTAAAACCCTTTTTGATAAAGAAATCAGAATCTATTTCTTAAATAGTTTTCTTTATTGTACTCTCTCAAACTTATAAATATAGGCTTGTAAGTGGCATACAACTTGGATTTGTTTTTAATAGAGCTTTATGGTTGTAATAGTAGTTGGGTTCATCCCAAAAAACTCATACATGCATGAAGTCAATTTCAGTTCATGATCCCCCTTCCTCCACCCTTTTCCCTTCTGTTCCTTCCCCACCTGCCTCTACTACACTAGACTTCCTTTAGATTTTCTATTAATTAATGCATTTGACTGGTTCCTTATATAATCTTATCCTTCCCTCCCCCTTTCCTTTATTTTACTCTAGCTTCCGCATATGAGATAAAACATTCCACCTTTAAGTTTCTGAATTTGGCTTATTTCACTTGGCTCGATATTCTCCATTACCATCCATTTACCAGTGAACACCATGATATCACTTTTTAATGGCTGAATAGAACTTCATTGTGTATATATACACACCATAATTTCTTAATCCATTCATCTATTGATGGGCTCAACTGGGTAAATTCCATAATTTGGGTAGTGTGAATTGTGCTGCTATAAACACATTGATATGGCTATGTTGCTTTATATAGTATGCCAATTTTAGATCTTTTGGGAAAACACCTGATGACAGTACTTTAAAACATAAGTTTTCATCTTTAAAAAGAAACCATAATATAGAACCCTAAATTCAGAAATTATGCATTACATAAAATATAATGATCATAATATTACACACTACAGGGGGAAGGTCTCAACTCACTTTGTAAGCTATATAAAACAGGACCCTCTTTTCCCCCTAGAATTTCATAGAGCAGAGCCTATATAATTATGTCCAGTGGCCCTGTTAAAGCAATATTTTTTAAGTAACACAATTCAAAAAAATTCCAAAACAAGTTTCTTTGAATTTGAGATTATATCTAAAGAAAGAAAATCAATTACAATGTTTATATCATTAAAATAGAAGATAAAGTTCACCAAAATGTGCTGAGGCTACATTTTGCCTAAGAGATACCAAAATCAGAACATTCAGAATTATAGTCAACAATGGTCCAGCTATACTGAACAGATATAATAAGGTATAAAAATTAACGGGTACGAATGTTTCTCAATTATGCAAATTCTCAGACATAGAAATAGGAATTAGATTGTACAAATATTAATTCAAAAAAAGTAGGAGAGCCTAAAGCTAAACTGAGAAACTCAGATTCACTTCATGTTTCAAAACAGGAGCTGGAATGATGATAGCACATTGGTTTAACTTAGTAGAACTACATATATAGATACAAAACATCTCTTCAACCCAATACAGATGTTCTTCAAACAAATACATATGCTCGAATGAGGATGGACAAATTTTTCTATAAAAAATCAGATAATTGTTTTATACTTTACAGACTAAATGGCCTCTCTTGCAACTACTCAACACTGCTATTGCAGTATAAAAGCTGGCAGAGACAGTATGTAAACAGATAGGTAAGGCTGTGTAAGCTGTGTTTAATAAAACTTTATTTGTAAAACTAGGCAGTGTTCCTGATTTGGACCATAATCCCCACAGTTTGCCAAACTCTCACTATAGCTACTAATGGATACATTAAATCCAACAGTCTAAAGAAGACTGGATTAGATTTTTTTTAGAAAATCCAACTCCAAGCATCAGGATGCTGTGAGAGATTACTTAGCAGGACATATTCTTTTTCTTTCTTTCTTTTTTTTGTTGTTCTTGGCTTTTTTTATTTCAGGGAGAATGCTGTACCTGTGTATTTGGCAATGTTATCCAAAAGAAGTGGGTATTTAGTAAGCCTCTGCATTTGGGTGGGAATGATATCTTTCAGCTGAAGACGACGACAAAGTGGATTACTCTCAGCATCCTAAAATTAAAAGAAATAAATGAATATGTACTCTTATTAGGCAGTACATTGTACCACATAAGTACCTATAACATTCTGGTTATTAAATCAAGACAAAAAATAACAAGACACATCATTGCCACACTACGATTCTGCTTTCTCCTCTAATCTCACATAGGGGGAAGAAAGCCTGTTATCAATGGTTTCTGCTACCTGTTTAAGCACTAACTGACAGCATCCACAATCAACTAACAATTACCTTCCTGTGTTAAAACTGCTTTATGTTCACCTATTCAAAAAATGTAAGTACACTTTCCTGACTGGCATTCCTATTAAAAGTTGGTTAACTTCTTTGTTATCTGCCATTTCAAGTAGGCACAATGGATCACCAGTCTGGACATGACAGCTTATCTATATCAGAAGTCTACAAACATTCAGTAATGTGCCAGTTAGTAAATATTTAGGTTTTGAAGGTCAGTCTCTCTTAAAATTACTTGACCCTGCTGTTTTAGCAAAAAAGCAGCCACAGACAATTTATAAATGAATGAACATTGCTTTATGTAGTACAACAACAACAAAAATAAAATCTCTAAGATGGACTCCAAGATTTCCATATTTTGGTGGAAACACTCTGCATAATCCTATCCCACTGAGTGGATGAAATCCATGAATAAACAGGCATACCATTCCTATGATTAGCTTACTAACTATCAGTTGCCTGTGAGTTAATCACAAAGGATATTACCCCCAGGTGGGTCTGACTTAATCAGAAAAGACTTGAAAAGAAACCTGGGTCAGAGATCTCCATTCCTAATAGTCTGGAAGAAAACAAACATCTATCTGTAGCTGTAAACTGGGGATCATATGATAAAGAGAAACATTCTATAGGAGATTGCTCCCTAGCCAACAACTAAAGGAAGGCAAGGACCTCAGTTATTCATTTTTAAGGAAATGAATTCGAACAACCAGTGAGCTTAGAAGAGATTCCCGAGTCTTAGATGAGAACTGTGGCTCTAGCTAACATTTTGACCCTGAAAACAGGATCTAGCTAAATTGTGGTCATATTCCTAAACAACAAAAGCTGTGAGACAATAAATTTGCATTAAGTGGTCACTTAATGTATATTATACAATACAAAATAAATACAACTGTGTTCCAATTAAACTTTATTTTTAAAAATAGGCATAAGGCTGGATAATTTACCTATGGGCTGTAGTTATCAACTCTTATCTATACCAATGTAAACACCTACCCCAGTGAGTATGACTGCTGTTATAGTCTTCCTTGGACCCGATATAAGCCCATTTTAATGTTTTAACAATATTCTTTTAATAATATATATATATGGACAAATTCCTGATAAAATCTCTATGGTAATGTGGATTTCTACATCAAGTATTTTAATCCTGACATATATTTTTTTTTGTTCATCATTCCAAAATTATTTTTATGCTTCCAATAATTTAAGAGATAAATATTGTTATTTTAAATGTTAACAAAAATGTAATCCTGTAAAAGACAGTCTAAGTCAGGATTCTCCAAGTTTATTCGGTAATAGTTAAAAACTTGCATTATTTTCATTCAACTCACTTGCACAAATGTCTGGAATCGAGAGTCCTTTTTCTGACGAGACTTGATCATTTCCAGAGCGAAAGGTTGATTACTGCAAAACGTAGCAGCAGCATGTTTCAACTTCTCCTCTCCTGGTCCACTGAACTGTACCAAGAATGAAAAGAAAACAATAGAGAATGAGATACAGAGCTTATACAAGGCCATGCAAAATAAGAGACAACCATGATCCTTTCAACATTCTAGTAGAATGTATTCTCAATTGACAACAAATATAGAACTAGATATTTATGTGCAGTATCAATAGCTCTCCATTAGGAAAGGTCTGACCCTGACACATCCAGGCCTTTTCTGACAGGACATCAATGTTTTCTTGCTGGTAACTTATCATAACTTGTTACCTTTCAGCCCACACCACTACTAAATCAGATAGAAAGGTGACATTTGATGAAGGCAAAAAGGAAATAGAATATTTTTCAAGTGCTGTCAACTTCAAGGAAAAGAATTGTCAAACATGCATTGCATATCTATTGAAGCTAACCTTCAGAAATGAAGAAATTTAGATATTCTCAGATGAATGGAAACTAAAATAATTAGCTTCTATCAGACTTACCCTTAAAGAATGGTAAAGGTCTTCAAACAGGAAACTAATCATGGAGCATCAAGAAGGATCAAAGAACAATGGAAAGGATAGACATTTGGACAAATAAAATAGATAATCCTTATCCTTACAGAACTAGATATTTATGTGCAGTACAAATATACAATATCCATCTTTTGCCCATTATGATGTTTTCATCTTAAATTTCATTTTATTAATAATAAAATTGTTATTTGACTTTAAAAAAAGGGAGGGAGGGTGACATTTGGAGAATACGAGACACAAAATGCCTGGAGACTCAGATTAAAATTTCATTTTCACAGACCCTGACACCTTTACAAGAATTACATTTTTACTGCTCCAGGAAACAAATCCTTAGGACACTAGCTTGTTTTCCTACTAACTATGAAATACGCTGTGACTAAAAGCAGCGAAGAGATTAAATTAATTACTGCTACATTTGTGCAGAGGCCAGAGTTGGCTTTGTTGGGGCGGGGGAAGCTATGAGCTTATGAACCTCTTGTGAAAAATTATGCTTTTTAATCAATATTTTTAATTTATAAATTTGTTATATATGACAGAATTCTAAATGATTATTATTATTTTTGGTACTGAGGATTGAATCCAGGGGCGTTTAACCACTGAGCCACATCCCCAGCCCTTTTTTGTATTTTATTTAGAGACAGGGTCTCACTGAGTTACTTAGAGCCTTGCTAAGTTGTTGAAACTGGCTTTGAACTCATCCTCCTGCCTCAGCCTCCCATGATGCTGGGATTATAGGTGTGCACCACCACACCCAGTTTAGAATTTTAAAATTTGATGAAACACCTAACAAGTACTTCATTAATAGGGTGTTCTTACAAAACAAGGAGAGAAATGAATTACAGTAGATGGGGTGGAGAGAGAAGATGGGAGGGGAGGGAAGGGGGGATAGTAGAGGATAGGAAAGGTAGCAGAATACAACAGTTACTAATATGGCATTATGTAAAAATGTGGATGTGTAACCGATGTGATTCTGCAATCTGTATTTGGGGTAAAAATGGGAGTTCATAACCCACTTGAATCTAATGTATGAAATATGATATGTCAAGAGCTTTGTAATGTTTTGAACAACCAATTAAAAATTCTTTAAATAAGTTCAAAGCCAGTTTCAGCAACTTAGCAAGGCTCTAAGTAACTCAGTGAGACCCTGTCTCTAAATAAAATACAAAAAAGGGCTAGGGATGTGGCTCAGTAGTTAAGCGCCCTTGGATTCAATCCTCAGTACCCAAAATAATAATAATCATTTAGAATTCTGTCATATATAACAAATTTACAAATTTAAAATATTGATTAGAAAGCATAATTTTTCACACAAAAATTGCTTTATGATTTTTTTTTCAGTATTACTGGTGATTGAACCCAGGGTCTCATGCATGACAGGCAAGTGCTCTACTATTGAGCTATAGCACCAGTCTTGTTTTATGGTTTATAAAGAGGTTTCTCATACAATCTTCTATTTAAAGTCATTTTCCCAAAAAGTCTGTAAATGAAGATATTTTGTAAAAAGTTCCTTTATAGTATATCTGTATATATATTCTTTTCTTCAAGTAGGTCACATACAGATTGATATTTAATAGGTCAAACTTTATATTCTTATTCTATTCTAACTATGACATTTAGCTTAGGGGTTGAGAGCTTGCCTAGCGTATGCAAGGCCCTAGGTCCAATATTCAGCATTGTAAAAATAAAAAAATAAATATGACTATCAACATGTATCAAGATCAGACTGGCAGCTTTTTTGGTATGTTTGTTGATCAAAGCACCACAAAACAAAACAAAACAAAACAAAAATCCTCTGGGTTTTCAAAAGAAAATAATGTCACCAATCTGAAGCAGTTTTATAGTAATTTTTCAAGTAGTTTATGTGATCCTAAGGGACCAATACAAGATAGACTCTCCAAAATTATTTTCAAAAAACAGCAGAGCTGGGTGGAGTAGTGCACACCTGTAATACCAGCATCAGCAACTTAGCAAGGTCCTAATCAACTTAGCAAGACCCTGACTCAAAATTTAAAAATTAAAATTAAAAAAAAAATAGCAGGAAGAGACTAGGAGCATAGCTCAGTAACAGAGCATATTCTCAGCATGTGTAAGGCTATGGGTTGAGTCCCCAGCACTGATTTAAAAAAAAAAAAATCTAAATCTAAAGGTTTGCTTATGATTTTTGCTTTTAGAATTTCTAACCACTGCTTTCCCCCAAATGAACCTTCGTTATGTAACCATTAATAAATCAAAATGATTATTGCATTCTGTTTTAACTCAACTTTTAATAGATATACTATAATGGCCAAAAATACACTTCTTTTTATGTGTTCTAAAATAACGTTTTTGTCGCTCTTTGTTCATATATTTCTCTATTTTCTTTTGCCATACAGATTTATGCAGTCTAATGGGCTGTGATAAGAGGATCAATTGCACGTGTGTATCTTATTAATGATAAACATCACTTGACACTAGGTCTTAAACCTTATTTATAGGAGATGCCAATGAATCTGCTTGGGAATCAAGGTGCAATATCTTAAATCCATACACCTTACAACCTTTTAATCAAAGTTTGACATAGAAATGATGCTATACTCTGTGATACTATAAAATGAAATGATGGTCTTATAAAATTTTTGATTTTCTGTTTCAAGTTAATAGCATACAGTGAAACCACTCAGTTATAATTTTCATTGCCTACACTGAGATCAAGAAACAAGATGAAGCTGGGCATAATGGCACACCCTACAATTCCAGTTACTAAGGGGGTTACAACAGGAGGAATGCAAGTTTGAGACCATCCTAGGCAATTTACTCTGTATCAAAATATAAAAAGGGCTGGGGATATCCCAAGCAGATAACTCAATGGTAGAGTGCCCCTGGGTTCAGTTCCCAATAACACACCAAAAAGGGGGGGGGGCGGGGGGGCAGGGAAATGAGTCACATTATCACAGGGTAGCCATAGAATAAGTTGAATTTTTCAAAGAAATTAAATATCCTTAATAACAATAATTCTAACGTGGGTCTAAGATGGAAAGTGCAAGGTAAAACTGGATTAGGATTTATAGCTCCTGTTCTGAGTCAAGTGATTAAAAAAGAGGTCTTTTAAATAGATTATGAGATTCTGAGCCATTTCTCACCACCAAGAAAGCAGTAAGATAAACATTGTTTTAGTTAGCTTTCTATTCTCTAATCTTTTTAAAAGTTACAATTTTAGAATTACTAAAATCTCATGGCATTTCCTCAAGAACCATACACACACACACACACACACACACACACTTCTGTGTGCCTATTTTAAAACATTCTTATTCAGTCTATGTTAAAATTTGAGAACTAAATCACATAGACTTTATTGTAATTCACAGCCTTAACTACATAGTGATGATGGTGGGATGTGATGACCATTATTATCCAAAGTACAAGTATAAAGACACAATTGGTTTGAATATACTATGATATGAAAAATTGTGCTCTATGTGTGTAATAAGAATTGTAATGCATTCCGCTGTCATATGTAAATTAAAAAATTTTAAAAAAAGTTTAAATCAAATGCCTTCCTCAAGAAGGTTTTCAATACGTTCAAGTTTAGGTCCCTCTGCTATACATTCCCATAACAACTTGTGTTTTTCCCCCTTTTTTTGTACTCATCTTGCATTAAATAACTTACGTTCTGTGAAGGCAGGAGACATGTATGTTTTGATTGCCACTAGCTCCTTTCACAGCACTGTACAGTATATATTCACAGAGTTAGAAAGATGGAATTTGACAAAAAAACTACTACAGCCTTTGGACTCCTTCCTCATACTGTTCATAAAATTAAGTAATTTTCACTTTTCTACTATTGTGAGAGCAATCATGGATATACAATTGTCTCAGAGTATAATTTCAAGATCTGAACAACAGAAGATGGCTAAAATTCTGTACCACTTAAATTATTTTTTTTTGTGTGTGTGGCAATATTTTTTAATGTGCATTAACTCCAAAGCCCTGAAAATTATTTTTTCAGATGGAATTACCTCTTGACAAGGATATAAATTATTTAAGAACCATTTTACCAGTTTTTAAAACACAAAGGACCAGTATATTTATTTCAATAAAATATAGCACTTAGTTTGAGCATTGATTAGTACATATTAATCAAGAATATCCACACTCTAAACCCTTTTCAGCTTTTCATTAACTTTGCAAACTGGATGGGTTTGCATATTTAGAAAGACTTGACCTTGAATCTTATCATCAAATGTCTCTAAAAACATTAAAAAATTTTCCTTACCCAGGTCAACAGATCTTCCCCAATGTGATCAATAACAGAGGTCTCATTCCTCTTTCGAACAGCCTTCATTTGTTCATTCAGCCCAACTAAATAAAAGAAAAAAAATTAAATAAAAATTTTAAAAAAGAAAAATTTAGTACACAACCTAAAAAAGTTTAATACACAATCTAAAAAATTTTGATTGATAGCTAAGTTTTCAAAAACAAAATTTTCAGAATAGCACAACTCCTTCTAATCTCTGTAAACAAAAATCTGAACATACGCTTATGCATCCAGAGACTGTAAAACAGTGTCTGAAAAGTGTTTTTACTGTTAAAGCATCAAACAACATTTTTAGAAACTAGTATATTAAATATAGTGCAGTAGCATCAAACATCATTTAACCTCAGGACTTCATCTTCATAATCATGCTCAAAAAGAACTTAAGTATCAACAGTGCTGATTGTGCTCACTGTTCCTTTCAAAATGTGTCCTGTTTATAGGCAACAGATATAATCAGGCCTAAAGTTATCAATGCATTCTGATGGGACCTAACATTACCCAAAAAGTTGTAAAGAACATCAATTTGGTTGATAGGTGTTGGTGGGAAATGATAATATTCTTGACAAAGAGAGATTGGAAATTTAGAGAAATAGTAACCTACAAAGAGCAGAATATCCTACTAGGAATATCCTACTACTATCTATAAAAGTAGATTATTCAAACAGGGAAAGACACAGGTTGAATTTTTGTATATTTACAAAATATGTATCAAGCAACAATACAATAAAGCAATGCCTAAAATTTATCATACTATGGGATTCCATATTGTGTATTGCTATTTACAAAACCTACTTCTACATGTATTAGGACATGGGACACATATGTTCAAAACCTTTTATATTGAAATTGATAAGAAATGTTTAAGGGTAATTTTGACTTTTCATGTTTTTAAGCTTAAGTGCTGACTTTAGACCTGAAGCCCTATGATAACACTTCATATACAAAGCTTGATGACTGTAGGGCAAAAGGATCTAGTCAAAATTCCATCATTTCTTCATTTATATTATGTGCTCATATATAACTTCAGAAATGCTAACATGGATACATTTACAAAATTACATGAAATTATATAAAAGCGCCTAAGAACTGCCTTATAGACTCCCAATCTTTTCTCTATTGGAAATGTAGGGGCAAAGATCACGTCAGTTTCTCTTACCATGAAGTTGAAGAATATCTTCCAAGTTTGAAAAAATCTTTCGTAGTTCTGAAGGTGAAAGAATTCCTTCTCTGGATACTCGCTGATAGAATACTTGATCAAGAACCTTCAATGTTCGAACATGAGCTCTCTCGGTGTAGAACAATTCTAAGCAAAAAAAAAAAAAAAAAAAAGGAAAGAAATGGGGGAGGGGAGATATGAGTTATTTCCTCACTTAGAATAATTCCATGGGACTAAATAGAGCCTTTTAGCTGGAATTAGGTAGCAAATGAGTTAAATAATATTTAGCATTTACTTAGCAAATCACTTTGATTCCATGAAATTCTCCAACATAGTGATTCTGAGTTAAATGTGAACAAATGAAAAATATCCTTCAAAACAATTTTGTACTTAAAAGTTAAGTATACTCTACTCTTCCATTTATAATATCTACATATCAAAATGACAATATTAGAAAACTGAAAGCCTCAATACCATACAGCCTTTAGCTTGAGCCTTCTTCAGAAATAACAGTACTTTTGGCTATCTAATTTTCCTACAAACTCTCATTTATGGAACTAGACTGTAACTTCACTATGTTGTAATGTTGTCAGAGACAGGGAGGGTATTTATTCAAATGACATTCTAGGGATAAGGATACAGTATTCGTGCCACATATCTGTCACAAACATATTGGAGTAACTAAAGAATGCTGAACCAGGGTTTGAAAGGACATAGATCCTAGTTTTCCCCTTTTCACTTATGGGCTATATGATCTTTTTTTTAATATTTATTTTTTAGTTTTAGATGGACACAATATCTTTATTTTATTTTTATGTGGTGCTGAGGATCAAACCCAGTGCCTCTCGCATGCTAGGCAAGCACGCTACCACTTGAGTCACATCCCGAGCCCATTGGCTATATAATCTTAATTAACTCAACTAATCCCATTGGGCTTTTTAGCTTCCTATTTATAATTTCTGCATAAAAAATAATTTAATCTGAAAGTAAAGTGATGGGATAAGTATCTCAATGATTCATCAACTCTAAACTATAATGCTATGGATCCTGAATATCTTGAAGGTTAAACATTCTTTCCTATTAAGTTATCAATAAGAATTATAATACCATTTGCATTTTTTGAGTTGAAGCGTTCAAGGATCATTTATCTAATTTAATTCCATCTTTGTTTAAAACAAAGGGGTAAGAGAAACTGAAGCACACTCCAGGGTTGAGGGATTTGCTTTATTCTGATAAAACTCAATATACATGAATGACAAAAACAATTAAACTCACCATTAATCACTTCCTGTCTTTTGATCTCAGAAGGTTTGAGTCCCAGTAACACTTCTCTACTAACAAGCTGCTGCCAGTTGGGTGGATCTGTCTCTAGGTCATTTTCAAATTGTTCATCCTCACTTTGACTTTCTCCAAAGGCTATGCTGTCAAACCTAACAAAGAAAAATGATAAATTCTGTTTGAGGACTTCAAGTGGATAATGTGAAGCTACACAAGTCTTAAGATTACGGTAATCAGTCAGATTTCTGCAATTGATCAAAAAGCCTAAAATAACTTCCTGTTCTACAAAACAGCTTATAAATGTTATATACACCTTAATGTATATCTTTTGAATTATATGTGCATATTAAAAACTTTATACAATTTAACAGATTTGTGTACAGGGCTTCTTTTCCTTTAAGATTGGAACTTTAGGGGGGAAAAGCTCTATTTCTTAAAATGTGCCTTTATTCAAAGCTACTTAAGATTTACTTACTTTCTAAAGGGCTTTGGTGTCCCATGTTCCATCACCCTAAAACAGTGGAGAATAGAGTCAACATGACATACAATTTTGAATCCAGAAAATACATAACATTTTTACAAGGGATTGGTACTCGAAGGAATACTATAATTATATAGAAAATTCTTGTGGTAGTTACAGTTCCAATTTTAATATTTATTTCCTTTTATCCAAAATTGTAATAATTGATTAGACTTAATTCATTTTTAAGCATTTTAATAATACTTTATTCAGACTGAAATAACAAGACATGATTATTATAAATTGGGATATATATGAATATGTCAAAAAACTTTTTAGAAAAATCCATGTTCCTACCAACCAGATATATTTACTATTAGCATTTTGGAATAGATCCTTCTAATCTTTTTCCAACTTTTTATTAAAAAAATGCATAAATTATAAATATACAGAACAATGAATTTTCACAAATTGGACTACTTTTTTGTATAAACAGCAGCTAGTCAACAAACTGAATACTAACAGCAAATAGAAGTTCCCTTTTCACCTCCTTCCACTTGTTGGAACTCCCTGTGCCCCCAAAGTAAAGCACTTTAACACCACAGATTCATTTTGCCTATTTTTGAGCTCTACATATTATAATGATACAGTATAATTTTTTCATGTCTAAGTTTCTTTTATTCAATACGGTATGTGAGACTCATTCACATGGTTGCTCATAGCTGTCAATCTTTCATTTTCCTTGCTCTATGTCATTCTATTTTGTGACCACATATCAGAAAACGAATGTCTTTTTTATTCATTCTATGTTGATGAACATTTGGGTAATTTCTAGTTTTCTGAATAAATAGTACTGCTATTAAAAAAAAAAAAAAAGAGTCAACCAGAAAAAAAAAATAATGGATATCAAGGAGTTCATATCAAAGATACTGAAAACTGGGTCAAACTCCAATGGCTAGACAAACAATTCTCTCAGAAATAGGATGTATTTAATGTAAAATGAACAGAAGAAAAATTTCAGTACCTATCTAATATTTACTACCAACAAGTGCTAGTTCTATATAAGGAAAAATGCTAGATAGTACACAAGTAGAATATAATTCAAAAAACTTTAAGCTATGCCCTAAACTTTTTCGGATCTTCTTTCGAATTACCTTTCTACTTCAAACTCCTCCTCCTGCACTTGGTCTAATGCAGGAGGTGGGAAATCAAAGATGGTATTGGGAGTACGAGGTGTGCCATCCAATGAGTCTCCAGATGCTGGTGTTTCTCCGACTTGTTTTGATCCTGAAAAAAACAGAAGTCAGACATTGAAAGTGAAGACTTTAAAAATATGAGACCCTGGAGATTTTTTTAAATGTTTAATGAGAAGCCAGCAGAGAAAAGAGATTGACAATGTGGCAGAGAGTATAAGCAATAGAACAAAGTTTCAAGACGGCAAAAAGAGATGAGGTATTGAATGTATATAAAGTGCAAGGTTACTAGCTGAAGGCGAGGTTTTAGTTAGATGGACAAGGAGATTTGTAGAGTTATGTAGTCTCAAATAATGTTAAAGATGCATTTTGCTTAAACTTTGGATCCTTACACATCTGGAAATGTCTTTATCCTTTCCTCATATTTGATGGAAAGTTTAGGTGGGGGCAAAATGAAAAGTCTAAACTGTTTTCTTTCAGTAAGTTGAAGGAATTGCTCTTTTGTGTCCTAGCAGTGTTATAAGAAATGTGAAGCAGCATAATCACCATTTCCTTTGTCTTAAAAGCTTTTAGCATTTATTCTTGGTGCACTGATGTTTCTGAGGACATTTTAGGTATAGATTTTTTTTAAATCACTCATTACATATAATCATGTGCCACATAACATTTCAACCAACAATGGACCATAAATACAATGGTCCCAAAAGATAACATTGTCTAGTGATAGCCTAGCCATCTTAACTTGCTTATGTATAAGACCTTTATAGTTATTTTCTATAACTTATTTTCTACTTTAAACATTGGAAGCTGTGGTGGTTTGAAAATACATCCACAAACACTCTGATAATCCTCCCTTCGGGAGTAGATCTTGCTTCCTCTCTCCTAAAGTATGGGCCAGATTCAAGGACTTGGGTCTAACTTGCAGAAGTAGCAGTGTGTACCAATAGACTAAGATTGTCGGCTTTCTTCTTGTCCTCTCTATCAGATCATTCTGGGGAAAATCAGCTACTACGTCATGAAACACTAAAGCAGCTCTTTGGAGAAATCCATGTGGTAAGGAGCTGAGACATTAAGAAGGGGGTCTCATCCTTTAAAGAGACCAGATGCCAAAACCACCCAGCTAAGCTGCTGTCACATTTTTCACTCACCAAAAAGGTGAGATAATAAAGAATTTTGTGTTAAGCCATTAAGGTTTGGAGTAATTTATCACAAAGTGATTCATGACTATGCAATAGTCATTGTACTGTATTTAATGGTTATATTAATATTTTTTGGATGGGGAGTACTGGGGATTGAACCCAGGGGCACTTTACCACTGAGCTACATCCCCAACCCTTTTAAGTTTTTATTCTGAGACAAAGTCTCACTAAATTGTTAAAGCTGGCCATGAACTGTGATCCTCTTTCCTGAGTCTCTTCAATCACTGAGATTATGGGCCCAGGTTCAGCTTGTCTCTCCTTTTTTCACAGAATCCATTTCTTGCATTATAGATTTGATAGCTTCTTTAATGTCTCAAAATATACTACTTAATTTAGAAGTATTTTTAAAAGTTCTTGTCTATTACCAAAAAGTATATTTTCTTTCTAGGGGCAGTTTTCCTATTTGGTTTGTATTCTTTCTTTGTGCCATTGTTTAATGTATCTGGTATTATATATTATACTAGGTCTTGACTCTCATATGCAGATTTTTCCAAGAGTGAATAGTGATATTCATATTTAAGAATGAAAGACCAGGCAGCTTATCTGGCTTTCTTTTGTATGGAAACAGCTCTGTTCTAGTTGAGGGCCCGAAGCAGGGTGTGTCACTGGCAAGCCTATTATCTGGCTTTACAGGTGCCCAAATGTTGGAATTCCAGGGCATCAACTCCATGAAAAATGTAACTCTCCCTACACAATTCACCCAATTTCTTTGAAAAAGAGCTCACTGAGTCTCTTCTTGTCCATAAATAACAGACTACTAAAAGGGGTCAGAAGGTGCTGACACAGTTGTTTTGATTACATTATTATTATTATTATTATTCAGTGTATTCATCACTGCAGCTCTATTTCTTACTTATGTACTCCATTACACACACTAACTCTGAGCCCAAAGTCTCCCCAGGGTTTCAATGGATAGAATGGCTTCTACATTGGATTCCTTAAACAAATTATAGGCTCTGACTTCCTTTACATTGTTTTATCCCTTAGAACAGTCTTGTCCACTTTCAATCTCTCAAATATTTGTTAAAAACATAATCCCTTCCTCTACTATCTTTCTCTTTATGATTTTTAATATCTTTCCTACTATTTTTTAATTTCAATGAGTCATGGAAGCCATGAAATATGAATACACTCAATCTAACACCTTCAGATATCCATACCTGACAAAATCCCAACAGTTCTCCAAATGTTACCCTCACACTTCCTTGCCTTAAATAGAAAACTGTTTACTGCCCCAATCCTTTCAAAAACTAATGTTTCTGTCTTACACTGTGTACTTCAAGGTGGAGATATGATGAATAGCCTTCCTTTTCCCTACATAACTTTTAGATTATTATCTTGCTGCCTTCTTGTAAAATTATTTGCACCACTGAAGTACTCACTCTCTGGATATTATCAGATGTTCTCCCTCCTCACAACAATCATCTAGCAGCCCTAAACATTTGGCTGCTGGCTCATCCTTCTCTTTTCCATGCTGAAATCATACTAGGTGACCTCCAAATATATGTATATTAAGCTATTCAAACTCCTGGCTCCTTGGTTCTCTGCCTTCTTCATCCTTAGTAACCTCCTCTATGATATCTTACTGACCACTCCCACACTCTCATCCTTGATCATGTCATCATCAGAAATGGAACAGCCTTAAGAAACACTAGTATAGATGGGCATTCCCTTCTCCAAATAAAACCAGCTGGTCTCCCAGCTTGCTTGCTTAAGAAATCCTTCATTATAACAAGTATAAAGAAATATGGTAATAAGTTGCTTTCCTAATTTTCTCCTGCAATTACTTCTTTTCCTTCTTTACAAATCCCCTTGCCCATCTAACTAAAACCTCGCCTTCAGCTAGTAACCTTGCCCTTTATATACACTCAACACCTCATCTCTTCTTGCCATCTTGAAACTTTGTTCTCTTGCTTATACTCTCTGCCACATAGTCAATCTCTTTTCTCTGCAGGCTTCTCATTAAACATTTTAAAAAATCACGAGGATCTCAGATTTTTAAAGTCTTCTTTAGAATATCCCATCCCCCATATCTGCATCTAACTACTGCCCAGTTCCCTCTATTCCTCTCTTACCTTTCTTTCTTAGACTTGGCACAATCTGAATTTTTCACTTCCTTGACTATTTCCCCCATATAACTAGCTGCATTGGGCAAGCACCTGCCTATGATTATTGTATGCTGACTTCTGGTACAAAGCTAATGTCTGACAGAGAGCTCAGTTTTTTGTTTTTTGTTTTTTTTTTTTTGGATGAATGGGAACTACAAATTATCATTCAGCATAAATTTGTCATGGGTTAGAGATTATTAAAATGTTAAAATCAAATTAAACGGGGACTCAGTCATGATTAAAAGAATCCGCCTCTCCACTGTACAATTAGTATATTTGTTTAAAAATCTTGACACCAAGTTAAGCTGAACTATAGCACTGGCTCACCTATATCATTCTCTTTCCCTCCTTCTTGGGAAAGAGTGGACCCTGAAGCCACAGAGGACACGGAATTGACAGGAAGGTATCCAGTGTCTGTTCCTTCATTTGCTAAGCCACATGGCCGCACCTTAGCAGAGTCCTGGGGTTCTGGACTCACAGATGAAGGTGTGGATAAATGCTTAGGATGGCGTGGCTTCTGTAGTTCCATGGCCCTGCCAACTGAACAGAAAATGACAGTTAATAATCTGTGTTGCTAAACAACTTTAAAAAAAGAGGAAATAAAAATATCCAGCAAAAAAAATGCCTGGAATATGGGCCCTAGAAAAACATAAAATAAATTATTATACAGAGCAAAGCACAGAGAAAAATAAAGAAGGGAGTGGAAGGGAAAGAAAGAGAGGTGGGCAACAAGAGAAAGGGAGAGGAAGATGGAGGAGGGAAATAAGGAGATGGAGGATGAACAGAAAAGGGAGTGAGAAGGTAAAATCTGAAGGTAAGAGGATGTGGCAGAAGAAGGATCATGAGTAAAGGAGATGAGAGAGTGATGTGGGGTGGGGATGCTGAGACAGAGATAAGTAGACATGTAGCTGTATCATTTATTAAGAATGAAAAAGAAGCCCTTAATCTCTGTGATGCTTAGCAAGCCCCATTCCACTTTTTTCCTAACACAACTTCATTATCACAATATGCCTCAGACCATACAAAATTATCCCTATTCTGTTCATTATCCTTATTCACATGCATCACTATATGAGTTGCAGGCACTCAGGTTATCATCCACAGCATTGTACATCCTAACATCTTTCCAAATTCCGAAAACTTCCTCTGTATCCCTTGGAGATCATGACAGCATCTGTGGAAACCTCCAGGTCAACCTCCTCTCAGTATTTCTCAATCAGGGCACTACTGGCATTTCAGTGAGAATTCCACATCATGGAGGACACTAGGTATCACTGTTCCACAACTCCACTTCTACCTCCAGCATGCCAGTAATTTCAAATGTGGTACTGTCCAAGACAGGAAGCACTACATGATCCAGTTGCTCTTCCCAGAGTACCACTATCCCTAATTCTCCTGCAACCCTCTTTAGTGATCTGATCTCTCTCTACTAGGCTAGGGACTGAGGTAGAAGGAGATCAGAAAATAAAGCACAATGAAAAGGTAAAGAAACAGAACTACAAAGAGAGTAGTAAATGAGACTAAACAAAGTATGACAGAGAGATCCATGCACATATTGTTTTTTAAATTTAACAAACAAAACTTGAATGCAAACAAAATCAGAAGAGATAAGTAAAATCATATCATGGACATCTAACAGAATACTGCCATTAAAGATGCTTATGACAATTACCCAACAACATAGGGGTACTAAGATTAGAAACAGCACTGAAGGGAAATAAACTATGTTGGAAGTTCAGTGACATCATCTCAAGAACACCTTCTTCCAGCCACCCATTCTAGCCAATGAGTCTGATGTAAACACTGCATGGAATAGAGGGAACGCAGCATTTCAAACTTCAACATACTTGCACTATTGTCATGACGACTTGGTCTCCTTGGGGGTCCTAGAATGCTAGGGAATCCTCTTCGCTTCCCTTTTTCTTCGCCTTCTCTATCTTTCTTCATACTTTGCTAGAGTTGAGATATAATCAAAGAGATAAGAGAAACCCTATAGAAGATTTCTTTTGCTGCTTTTGAACACATAAATGTAATTCTAATGGCTACTACAAACACACACACACACACACACACACACACACAATACTTCTCAGAGGCTGGTACATAGTATTATGGATACCTCAACTTCAAGATGTCTTTTCAAGCCCTTTAGAGATAATAATTTTAGGAAATAAAAGGGTAGTTTTACCAGGAGCTTATTATTAACTGGGTGAATTTACACATTTACCAGGAGTTTGTTCTAAACAATTCATTCATCCATCCAACAATTTTATAATGTGAAAGCACTATGATAAAAGCTGGGGATATAATAAAGAGAAAAGTCTTTGACCTCATAGAGTTTTAAAATCTGGCAACATGAAACAAAACACAAGTGATTACAAACTATTACAGGTACCCTAAAAGTATAAGGCAATAACATTTGGGGAAGGCGCTCTGTATAAACTGCTATTTTCATGTTTCACACTAATTAATAATAAGCTTACATATCTTTATCACTAGTTTCTTGACAATAGGGACCATATCTACCTATTGTTATGCCTAGTGCTAATGTGCTGATTCAGCAAATATTAAAAGGCAGGAAAACAGTGCAACGAATGTAAAGAAGTACTGAGCCCTGATCACTTTTTTATCATTCCAGTTTTCATCTTTGTGTGTGTGTGTGTGTTAGGGATTAAACCCAGGGGTGCTTAACCACTGAGCCCTTTTTATTTTTTATTTTGAGACAAGGTCCCACTAAGTTGCTTAGTTAGGTCCTTGCTATGTTGCTGAAGCTGAACGTAAACCTGTGTTCCTCCTGCCTCAGCCTCCCAAGTCTCACCTTGATTTTTGGAAGGAATCCAATCCGACCCCGCTTGTGCTCCAGATTTCGAGGTTCTTTCACTTTTACTCCCAAATGCTTCATATACATGAGAATAACATACTGCATTGTGGAACTGGAGAATTAAATAAAAATAAGACTTCTGAGAATGGAGGGTCAGTATGAATAAAGACATCAAATGATTTCCAAAACCCCAACCCAACAATGGAATTATTAAAATTAATTAAGCAAAAAGGAAAAAAAAATTTAGGATTTATTCACTGCACACAAAGTTTCTACTCATTTATCACTAGAATATTAATCAAATATAACACAAGGCCACCAGGGGGAAACCACAGTACATTTTTAAGTTAAAAAGAAATCAATTGTAATTTAAGGCTCATATGAGAAAAGAAAGTTTCCTTTTTTCTTAAAATTCTCGGGGTGGGGGGTCAGAATAATTATGTTACCTCTTTTCTTCTTCTACAGCCTGAGCAGTCAACCTAAAAGTACAAATGTTTAAAAATAAAACATATAAGTTTAATTAAAATTTTGCTATTGAACTTAAGACACCTGAAACAACAGAACAAAACCAAATGCTTTGTACCCCACCAGTAAAGAAAAAGAACAGAACTATGGAGAGAATAGTAAATGAGATTAAACAAAGTATGGCAGAGAGACCCATGCACATATAAATCAGAAGAGATAAATAAACCATATCATGGACATCTAACAGAATAAACGTCATCTAGAGTAAAATATCAAGAGAACCCTAATCCCCAAAGGAATTCTACCATTTTTGCACTCATCAATTGTACATGTTTTACCATAAGAAATATTTCCAAAGTCTATGAGTTAAAATCAATGAAAGTATTCACCTGGTTTGGATCACTGATTAGAAATTCCAGTGTTATTCATTTACCAACATCCAGAAAAAGAAATGCAAGAACTGTGTATGGTGTGTGTGTGTGTGTGTGTGTGTGTGGCGGGGGGGTGGGGGGGTGGGGAGGGTTGGGGATCAAATCAAGATCCTGCACATCCCAGGCAAATCCTCTACCAATGAGCTACATTCACAATCTAAGAACTTTTTCTAAAATGAAATGTCAGGGGGAAAAAATCATAGTTTTTGAAGTTTTATAACAAAATAAACACTTCCTCTTATATACTGACTGCCCTTTTAAATCTGTCTGGAGTACTTCAAGCAATATTAACTTTTCCACATATACTTCTATTACTTACAACACTTCTTCAATTTTGGCAACGATCTGTTCTGCACATGCCCGCTCCTTCTCCAAAATTACCCGGTCCTTGTCTCGCTCTGCATCAAGTTTAGTCAGCTCACTTTCAGCCAAGGTCAGTCCCATACTACGTTTCTGCCTAAAGGGAATAGGAGAAATCTCCTGAGGTAGCCTAGGGGAAAACCATCTCCCTCTGTAGATGTTTCTCAAAGTCTCCATAGCTATACATTTCTAGGAACAGGCAAAATGTCACATCACCTAGAATGCCAAAATTTTAGAGGCAATCACTCAAAGATACATATCCTGAAAGAATATACCTAGCACAGACACAATACTGAGCTCAAATCTTGAAAGGACACAGAAGGTAGACTGTAGACTCTCAGTTCCACTCTAACCCTTTGACTCCAGATGTCTGAGGTTGTGGCTCAGAGGTAGAGCACTTCGCCTACCATGCATGAGGCACTGGGTTCAATCTTCAGCACCACATTAAAAAAACAAAATAAAGATATTGCCTCTAAAAAAAATAAAGATATGTGTCCACCTATAAGTAAAAAATAAATATTTAAAAAAAGAAAAAAAAAAGATATCGCCTCTACCTCAAATAAATAAATAAATAAATAAATACATTGTAGTCACATATAATAGTGGGATTGACATATTGACAATGCTTTCTCCATTTCAATCCCTAGTATTATATCCTTCTGTACCTTCCTCCCTTACCCTGATCCTATTCCTCTACTTTATTGATCTTCCTTCTAATTTGTGTGTTATAGTTATATATAAAATTGTTTGCAGGTAAATGGATGGAGTTAGAGAAAGTAATGCTAAGTGAAGTTAGCCAATCCCAAAAAACCAAATGCTGAATGTTTTCTCTGATATAAGGAGGCTAATTCATAGTTGGGTATAGAGAGGGAGCTTGGGAGGAATAGAGGAATTCTAGATAGGACAGAAGGGTGGGAGGGGAAGGTAGGGGGTATGGGGTTAGAAATGATAGTGGAATGAGATGGATGTCATTATCCAAAGTACATGTGTGAAAACACGAATTGGTGTGAATATACTTTGTTTACAACCAGAGATATAAAAAATTGTGCTCTATATGTGTAATAAGAATTGTAATGCATTCCGCCGTCATATATGAATTTAAAAAATTAATTAAATATTAAAATTGGAATGCACTGTGATATATTCATACAAGCACATGGCATAATTTGGTCAATGTTACTCCCCAGTTTTTCTCCTTTGCCTCCCCTTCTCCCTCATCCTTGGTCCTCTGCTTCTAACTCTATTGTTCTCCCTTCTATTTTCATGAGATTTCCCCTTTTTTATTTCTTATATCTCTCTAGCTTCCACATGAGAGAAAACATTCAACCTTCAACTTTTTGATTCTGTATGATTTCACTTAGCATGATGTTCTCCAGTTTCATCCGTTTACCAGCAAATGACATAATTTCATTCTTCTTTGTGTCTGAGAACTCCACTGTGTGTGTGTGTGTGTGTGTATGTGTGTATGTACATGTGTATGTATATGTGTGTGTATATACACACACCACACGTTTTCTTTATCCATTCATCTAGTGATGGGCATCTAGGATTGTTCTATAACTTGAGTGTTGTAGGATGTGCTGCTATAAATACTGATATTCATGTATCACTATATATACTGATCTTAGATCTTCTGGATAAATACCAAGGAGTGGGATGACTGGGTCATACGGTAGTTCCATTCCTAATCTTTTGAGACATCTCCATACTTTTTTCCTATTCAATAACAGGGATAAGACCACCTAGTTTACTTAATTGATAAGTGAAGTTTTTAATGTGCAACTTTTCCTATTTAAGAAAAATTAATTCAGAATGACCACATAAGGTTTTATGTACACTAAGCTTACCGAAAATCTTCTAAATGCTTCTGAACTTCTGGGTGGACTCTTTCTTGCATAGTTTGGATATAGTGACGATGTAGATCCTCAGGAATAAGTTCAGGTCTCCTCTTTTCTGCATAAAGAAGAAAGGAATTATTTGATCCAAAGGTATGTCCTCTACAACATAAGTTCACTGGCAACATAGCAATGTTACTTTGTATCAATTTATCATGGAGAACCCCAAAAAGAAATTCTTAGTGCAGTTCCTGCATTTGATCTCAGAATTCAGATTTCATTTCCCCTAAAATTTATTATACACTCTCCTTCTATTGTAATTCAGGGATTTAACCAGTTACTAAGCATTAGATAAAACCTTTAGAACTGAGTTGAGCTACATACAAAGAGGCATAGTAAAATTCTGCAGGATGTCGGGGCTCCAAACTTACCTAGATCTACAGATATTTCTTCAGGAACAGAAACCTTCAGATGCTAAAACAAAATCCAACAAAGGTGAAACAGCTTAAGTATTTGTATAAATGGATAAAACAAGGATACCTACTCTGACAGGCATATTCACAAATGAGCTCATTTACTCATTCAGATCTCATAGCCCCAGAGTGTTCTATTGTTTAAACTTAAAAACAAGCCCTTTTCCCAGTTTTGTGGTATGAAGGAAATATCTACAGTTCTTTCACTTACATGACTGAATGTTTCAGTGTCATACTTGTTCCTAATGAATAGACCGATTCTGATTTCCTTTTTTTCTTTCTTTCTGGTACTGGCGATTTAACTCAGGGGTGCTCTACCATTGTGATATCCCCAGCACACTCTATTTTTTATTTCTATTTTTTATTATAAGATAGGGTCTTGCTAAATCACAGGGGTTGGCCTTGAACTTTCAATCCTGCCTAGGCCTCCCAATCTCTGGGATTACAGGCACGCACCACTTACCAGGCTTGGCTTTGGTTTCCTAAAATCATTAGTTAATACAACAAGTTATATAGCACTTGAATTAAAATCGGTAAAACCTAAACTATGTGTATGTTGTCATAGGAAAAAGTGACTCATCTAACTGTGAGGTTTATTTCCTGGATTTGAGATGCTCACCCTACAGACTTCCAATTATTTTTCAATGTAAAGTTAAAAATCTGTAGGGTTTTTATTTAGTCACACTTCCAGTGAGAAAGTATTGGATGTCAATGTTGAGTTTTTTTTTTTTAGAGAGAGAGAGAGAGAGAATTTTTAATATTTATTTTTTAGTTTTTGGTGGACACAACATCTTTGTTTGTATGTGGTGCTGAAGATCGAACCCGGGGCGCACGCATGCCAGGCAAGCGCGCTACCGCTTGAGCCACATCCCCAGCCGAATGTTGAGTTTTTAATCAGTAATCATCTATAGTTTTTGCTATTGAATTAACTAAATTGAAGGTCTTAGAATTTACTTCTTATAGCTAGGATTTTCCCCATGATAACTACAGTTGTTGGTCTCACAAGCAAACAGATTATTGTGTTTCCCCTCCAACAGTTTGAGAGAAAACTTTATTACTCTGTATTTAGAAGAAATATCTTAGCCTCTTCATTCTCATAAAGTATCGAATACCTATTTCAGTGATATACTTCCAGAAATTAAATGATTCCCATAAAGTTATCAAGTTTTAAGTTTTGAAAATAAGTCACTGCTAAAAAATTATGATCTCTCATATTCACTTTAAGAATAATGAAACGGACTGCAAAACTTTCTCTTTATGTTGCCAAGCAGTAGCTCAAATCATTTTTCTTAAAAGTCTTTCTAGTACAAGTACAAAAAAATAAAATTTAATTTGTATATGTGGATATCTATATGAATAAATATGACCTGTAGCATTAAAGAATAATTAGTAAATTAACCAATCCTTCTTATTCTTTAACGTTGATATACTCATAGATCATGAGCAGCAAAGTATAGTTTTGACTTAGCCTGGAGCTCTCTTAAAAAATAAAAAATTTAAACATACTTAAATATTCTGTCATTTCTTCATGACAATAAGCTATTTTAACAAAAGTGATGTATGAAAACAATGGCAGTATAATTCACTGAATAGATATGTATCAGAAACTTCAGTGTTAGAGATACTGCATCATACAAATAGTCTTATTGAAGCTTATATTCAGGTCAGGAGAGCAAGTATACACACAAATAAAATTAATAAATAAACTATAAGTCCTAGAGACAAAAACAACACAGAAGAAGTTACAGCGAAGGGAGTGAGATTTAGAAAGCTGGTCAGGAAAGGCCTTGTGGAAAAGGAAAGTATATTTAGCAATACAAAAGTATGTAGACAACTTTGTAAAGGAATACAGAGAAAATGAGGCAGGAGCTGGAGGGAGAAGTACGATCAAAATGTGTATGTTTATTCTAAAATAAAAGAAAAAACAATGTTTTACATGTTAATGTAATGATTCAATAGGGAAAAAAAATCAACAATGCAAGAGAGCAGGGAAATAATAGCTAGAGCAAGTTCTCTGAGAAGTTATAAGGAAATACACTGGGTAAAAAAGGGAGAGCTGGCCATGGATAGAGTTTGTACAATTCCTCAACAGTATCCGGACAAAGGGCTGAGTACATTATATGATGGAAGTATGTGACATAACTTGTAGAAGTTCTTTTTTCTATACTTTAACTTCTGCAGAGAAACAAAAAGGTCATCAGCTGAGAAAAAGCTAGAACAGGAAGTGATACACGTGTTAGGAGAGAAAAGGTATGAAGTACTTGTCTAAGAAAACTGAAACATGAAAGGGTGCAATCCAGGCAGCATGAACACCCATTGAAGCATTAAGGGCTAAGTGCTTTTTGCTTCTAGCAAGGCTAACAATAAAACTTACTAGTTTAAAACCCCTACTGACATTTCTATTAGTAAAAATAAAGCCCTATTATCATTAATCTCAGTATGTGAGATTTTTGCCTGCCACTTTTTAGTTAAATTTGTGCCTCTAAGCTTCAAAGAGGCCATACAGATTTCAATTATACAATTATTATCCCTTGGAATACTAACAAATAAATGTGTGTATGTATGTGTGTGTATCATATATATATATATGTGTGTATATACACCACACTAGAATATAAATATATATTAGGACTAGCTTATTTTATACTTATTTTATATGTTTTTTTCATTCCCTGTTTCTAATTATGCACTTATAAAAGCATAAGTATACATATATAATCCCCTAAAATCTACTGTGAGAATTCATATGCCCAAAATTAATTTAGAAATTATTGTAAAAAGTAATCAATAGTTGAGATATAATACAGATATTTAAAAGCACAAAAAAGTCCAAAAAATGGGAAGGACTACTGGAAACAGCAGGACAATAAATCAATGTACTAAAGCAAAGATAATATTAACATTTAAACTTACTGCAGATCGATCCAGGAAGAACTGATGAAACTCAAGAAAGATGCGACGAGTTTCTTTGGAATTGGTCTGTTTGTACAGGTCTGAATAGAGATAACAGAGCTGTTGCAGAGAAAGAAAAGGAAAAGACAAAGTGAAAAATCACCAAAAAAGGTAACCTGCTAGATCCTTACTGAACAGGAATGTTTGGAACAGGCATGTCACCATCAACAATATAGTTTTTACCATGTAATCAAGTCTTTAAAAAGTGAATTAATAACATTTTAAGTATCTTTCATATCTGCCTTTATGTGTTTGGAAAACTAAAAGAAGTATATATGTGAAATCTTGTAAATATGAAAAGTTCTATTAAAAAAAAAAGGTTCAATATAAAGACTGAATCAGTTAAATTGCAAAATAAGTTACCAATGTTGCAGGGTCAAACTGGGAAACTACATGGTGTAAGAAAACAGCCAAGTGAGCAGGGCGAGATTTTAGCAACTCAATGCTCTGGAAACAGCTGCACTGCCCATTGATCTAGAGGAAGAAAAAATCATACATCAATAACTCTGACATACAAATATGAAATGCAATATAAGTTCAACTAATCACAACTATCCAAATTTCACTTTGATCTCCCTATTTAAAAAAAAAAAAACTCAATATTTTAAAAATTCCACTAAAAGTTATTAGCAAGATAGGCCATGGAATCTGAATTTCTTCCTCTGAAAATTAATCATTTCCTGGGATCAGAAGACAGACCATTTTAGGAGAATGGAAGTTCAGGAAATGATCATGTAGGAGCACATACTATCTTCAAATCAGTATGTGAAAACAAATAAAATTCCTGAAAATGTAGAAAAGTTTTTTGCTCAACAATGGAGAGATGTTTTTCTTTGCTTTAGGGCTAATCACAGAAAGAGAGTGTAAAATGGAGCTGTATGATTTTAAGTTAACATATTGTCATTTGTATAATCCCTAAATACTCTGAACATAGAAAATAGATAATAATTAAACTTAAAGACAAACTAGCATTACAATTTCCACATGACTTTTCACATTTATATAGAGAAGAAAGTTAATATAAACAAATAATAACAAATAAAAAATACAGTGTAAAAAAAATACCAATTCTACATAGTATCTGCCCAAAAATAGGAGATCACTTCCCAAATCATTCACAAGGTCAGCACTATCTGACTATCAAAATCAGACAAGATATTACAAAAAGTGAAATTCTAGACCATTATCCCTCATGCATACAGAGGCAAAAAATTTTGGCAAAAATAAAAGCGAATTACATACAATATAAAAAAGGGATAGCACATGATTTGACTGGAGTTCTTTCTAGAAATACAAGGCTGGTTCAACATTCTAATATTAATCAATGTAATCTGCTAGACTAAATGTTTAAAAACCATACGATCATCTCAGGTTTTCAACAAAATTCAACATCTAGTCATGATGAAAACTCACAGCAAACCTGGAATAGTTTTTTATTTAATAATCCTTAACCTAACAAAGAGCAGCTACAAAAATACCTATAGCTAACACACTCAATGATGAAGGACTGAATGCTTCTTCCTAAGAACAGGAATAAGGCAAGGATTTCTCACCATTTCAATTCAACCTCATACTATAAGTCCTCACCAGCGCAATAAAGGCAAGAACAAGGGGAGGGGGGGAAGATACACAGATTGACCAGCATGGTGTTGCACACCTGTAATCCCAGCTACTCAGGAGGCTGAGGCAAGAGGATTGCAAGACTGGAGCCAACCTGGGCAACCTGGTGAGACTCTGTCTCAAAATAAAAATAAAAAGGGTTGGAGATGTAGCTCAGTGGTACAACACTTGTCTAGTACGCACAAAACCCTGGGTTCAACTTCTACTACCACAATAAAAAAAGAAGTGAAATGATACAGCTGGGCATGGTGGCATATACTTGTAATCCCAGAGGCCATGGCAGGAGGACTGAAAGTTCAAGGTCAGTCTTAGTAACTTAACAAGGCCCTAAGCAATTTAGCAAGGCCCTGTCTCAAAATAAAAAATTAACAAAGGACTGGGGATGCAGCTCGGTAGTAAAGTGCCCTGGAGTTCAGTTACCGGTACCAATATAAAAAATATATATTTTTTTAAATGCAAAGACTGGAAACTAGAAAAAGATAGTGTAGTTTTTTATGTAGAAAAATCACCAAAACTATTAAGAAGCTCCTAGAATACAAGGACAAGAATTAAGCCAGATATTTCTATATACCATAAATGAATAACTGGAATTTTTAAAGTTTTTAAAATATTAAATATTCAATAACATCTCACCTCCAAAACAAAATGAAAAATTTAGGTATAAATCAATGACCTAACTCTTATGGCCTTGGAGAAAATTAAAAAAAAAAAAAAAAACTTTCATTGTTTCCACTGGCCAAAGCTAAAATAAGCAAAGTTAGTTCTAAGATTAATTTCAAATCCTTACAAATGTTATTTTAATCTCCAGAAAATGTTTATTTTTGCAACAAATGAGACATCTCAGAATGTCAAAAATTGATTTTTTAGAAAAAAGTCATTACCTGTTCATGCTCAGTACCAAAATCATCATCCTCTGCTCCAATTATATGAGGTGCAACACGGGTTGAGGGACTCCCAACAAGTGACTGAGTGTCCTGCTAACAGAAAAGAAAAACAGAAAAATTATCAGGTGGTCAAATTCAGAAAAAGAACAAAGCCAAATCATCAAAAAGATAATGGTTCACTTATGAGTAGGAGTTCTTTTTGTTTATTTTCTTTAAGGTACTTTATTTTCAAACCAGTGCTTCTCAAATTTTTAAGGCCATAATACCACTCCAGTAAAAAAAAAAAGAAAAAAAAATGAGCACAGTAGTACTGATAATTTCTTGGGGAAAGAGGGGAAACTATTATTGACCCTTAAAATAATAAATACTCTTTTTTCACTGTACTTTTGGTTATCTGGTTCTAATTAATTGCTATATACCTCAGTTATTAAATTATACCTTTTACATAAAGACATAAAATCAGCTTATAAGGTTACAAAAAACTTAAAAACAAAAGTGAATGAGGACAGCCCAGCATGGTGGTGCACACCTGTAATCACAGAAACTCAGGAGACTGAGGCAGGAAGATCACAAGTTTGAGGCCAGCCTTAGCAATTTAGAACTTCTCTCAAAAAAATGGTGGTGGGGAGGCTAGGGGTATGGCTCAGTGGTACAGAGCCTTAGGTTCCATTCTTAATTCAAAAAAAAAAAAAAAATGAAGATAAAGATAACAGGACAAAGAAAAAATGAGAGCAGAAAGACAAATTTAGCAGAGGTTAATAGACCTGAGAAGTACAAATCAAAAATTTTCATTGAAAACATAATTAAAATCTCTCACCGAGCCCTATTTTGTCATTTTGAATTCATTTTTATAAGTGTATAATGCAGGGTTTCTCAACTCTGTCATTATTGACATTTTGGGCCAAATAATTCTTTGCTATGGGGTTGTCCTGTGCATTGTATGATGGTTAGCAGCATCCCTAACTTCTACTCAGCAACTAGATGACAGGTGCAACTTTCCAGGTGTGATAATCAAAAGTACTTCCAGGCACTGACTGTCAAATGTCCCCTACAGGGCAAAAATCACTCCTAGTTAAAAATCACTGGTATATTACAATAACATTTAAAAGTAATATCACAAACATTGCTACAGAAACAAAAATAACCAAATTACAAAAGGAAACCGTAGGCTGGCAGATATCATGCCATGCAATAATTCGTCTGTTTGTCTTCTCACAAAATAGGATTTAGCATTAAAAAGGCAGTACAGAGGCATTAACGCAAAATGTGATGTTTGAAGACCATAAACAGTAAAATAAAAGACTATATAAGATTAAGATAAGTAAATATTGGAAAACTGACAGCACCTGAACATGCAAGATCTGGACCTTGGCAAAGAAGGGTGGAGCCATATTGGTTTAGGAATTGTCTGCATAAGAAATTAAAGTTGTCTATATGTAAATTAATCCACAAATTATAAATTGAGTGGATAGTATGTATCTGTAGTTTTTCTTCCTTAAGTATGTTATGATACTGCATCTCCTAAATGCTCTTACTCTGCCTTTTTTTTTTAAATTAATTACTTTTTTATTTCTCTAACTTCAAGATTTTTATTTTTAAAAATTCGGGTAAAAGAACAGAAATTTGTTTAGAACAGTAGTCAAATTTTAATTTTATAAGTGATTTGATGTCTGCTTTTCAATAATTCTTATGTTGCTAAAAATCAATGTGTCACAAAATTCATTAAATATTTTACTATAAAACTTCAAACAAGCTGACCATGATGGCACACGCCTGTAATCCCAGAGACTCAGGAGACTGAGGCAGGAGGATTGCAAGTTCAAAGCCAGACTCAGCAACTTAGTGTGTTCCTGTCTCAAAATAAAAAATAAAAAAGGCTAAGAATGTGACTCAGTGGTTAAGCCCTTCTGGGTTCTATCTCTAGTACCAAAACCAACCAAACAAAAAACTTCAAGCAAATCTAATTTAAAAGTAAAATCAGAATACTAAAAGCATTCAATTAAAATATGTAAGATCCAATAATTGCACTTCTAGGTATATACCCAAAAGAACTGAAAGCAGAGCACCCTTATTTACAACAGCCAAAGGTAGAAGAAACCCAAGTATTCATTGTGCTGGGTGAATGAATAAACAAAAAGTAGCACATAATTGGGGAATATTGTTCATTCTTAAAAAGGAAGGAAATTTTGTCACATGCTACAATATGAAGATATTATGCTAACTGAAGTAGGCCAGTCACAGACAAAAAATATTGTAAATTCTATGTATATGAATAGCTAAAGAAAAGTTAAGAGGCTGGGGATGTGGTTCAATGATAGAGGGCTTGCCTATCATGCACAAGGCCCTGTGACTGTCCAGCACCACAGAAGGTGGACAGCGGGAGGGGGAAGGAAAAGGAGAGAGAAGAGTAGGGAAGAGAAGAAGGAAAAAAACAAGAAGAAAAGGTTAAAAAAAAAAAATTCACTTTATGGATTTCATACTCACAGTGTCCTGAATTGCTTCACTTTTCTCTGGGCTTTCCTCTAGATAAATCTTCTCTTTCATGCCACTCTTGGGACTCTAATGGGAGGGAAAAAAAACTATTCAGTTCATTTCAACAGGCTCACCAAAAGACAATAAGGAAAAACAGTATTTTTTTTTTTTAAATAGCATTCTGAATTTCATGTTTATATTTAAAACTATTAAATAACTTTCATACAATACTTGACTCTACTATGTTTTTCCTGACTTTAGAAAGTCACTTAATCCCTCAGCTTTTCAGTTTTATGTTGATAAAAAATACAGAACCAATAAAACAGTTTTACCTAACTTCTACCAAATAACTCTAACTAGATACATTACATACTTCAAATGCATTATGTCAAAATCAAATTCTATTCATCTTCTCTAACCTCTGCCTTTTCCAACTATCCTTTCTTTTCAAATTAAAAGCATTTTGCCTAGGGCTGGGGCTACAACTTAGTGGTGGAGTACTTGCCTAGTATGAGCTTAGGTTCACTCTCCACTAGCTCAAAAAACAAACCAACCAACAAATAAAAAACTCTTTTGCCCTATTTATATAGGGATGACAATATAAAATACAAACTATATTATGACATGCAGAAAATTCAATTCTGGGAAAATTTGGAACTCCAAAGCAATACAGCCATTCCTCAGAGGAAATGAAAAGGAGGAACAAGAACTTGTGTGTGAAAGCCACTGGGAAGACAGACGTTATCTATCATCATGTGTACGTATGAATATGTGTGTGTGTGTGTGTGTGTGTGTGTGTATATAGATATAGATATAGAGATATCAATATATCACAGTAGCTTCAAATGTATGGCCCACCTTAAAGAAACAGATAACTCTGGAGCTTATAAAGATAAGATTAGAATAATTCCAACATAAAAAGCAAAAAAAACTATCAAAGATACTGAAGAATCAAGTCAAAGCAACAAAAGAAACAACCTGAAGGCACTCTCACATTCCAAAAACAGGGTAACTCTTGTTAGAATCTCTTAGTTCAAAATATTACATTAATTCATTCATATTCTCTCCCCCTCCCCTCTCTCTTTCTCTCTCTCTCCTCACCGGTCACCCTTGGAACGTTAGGGAATCAACTCTTCTGAAAACAATCAGGGAAAAAATATTTATCCTGCATTTTCTGTATAAGCTATATTTTAGGGAAACCTAAACACCTGAAAGGGAAAATCGTTCCCTATAAAATAATTCCATATAATAAATACTATAGAAAGAGCCAGGGGTGGTGGCACATGCCTGTAATCCCAGCAGCTTGGCAGGCTAAGGCAGGAGGATCAAACCTCAGCAACTTATCAGGACCAAAAGCAACTCAGTGAGATCCTGTCTCTATATAAAATATAACAAAGGGCTAGGGATATGGCTCAGTGGTTAAGTGCCTTTGAGTTTAATTCCTAGTACCAAATTTAAAAAATAATGATAAAATTACAAAATCATTCTTCTGAAACCCCTAATTACATCATGAATCTGGACATTTAGGTCACCAATGGCACATAAAAACATTATGTAAAAGTCTGATAGGGAACTCTGTAATGAAGTTCCTCCTCTGAATGAACACCTTTAACAAATTTAGAAACACAGTAAGACAACCAGACATTCACTTCCTAATGTGACATAAAGAGATGTACACAGAACCACCAACAAAATGTTCCTGCCAAAAATCACACCTTAATCTGATCAAGACTCTAGATCAAACCATCAGTTTTCGGGAAATAAAGATAGAGGAACAGGTTACATAACACTGTGAATACAATTGAAAAGGGAGTTGTTTTACTGGTATATGACCCAATTTCTTTTACCAACAGAGTCCTACTACAATGACTTATCAACCAAAGACAACATGAAATCCTTGACTGAATCCTAATTCAAATAAACTATAAAAAGATTTTTAAAGATGAGTATCAAAGCATATATTAAGAAAATATTAATTCTTACGGTTTGATAATGATATCATAGTTACATTTTTTAAACATCAAGTCTTTCGAAGACACATTAATGAAATAGTCTTTACTTTAAAATAACTCAGTGTTTGAAGGGTATGGAGAATAGAAGTTACATACAAAACAAGTTTGGGTACATGTTGATGACTGCTGAGACTGAATTATCAGCGACATGACAGGAATATTTTTGAATGTGCATGGTAATTTTCAAAAAAAAAATTCAGAAATTGAAACCCAGAAGCAGATGCTCTGAATTTTGGATAATGATGTGGGACCCAGTTCCTTATCTTGAGAACAGTGTTATGTGAGCATTCTTTAAAACCTCCAGTAAGTGAGCAAAAGCAGAAATTTTTAATAATGATAGTATCACAAATACCAGAGTATACTATTTTAAAGGAAGGAAAAGAAACCTCAAAAAAATTAAAGTCAGTGATTCAAAAGTTAAGAAAACAAACCGGTTCCTCCAAACTTATTACAGTACAATGGAAACAAACATGGAAATCCATAAGCTAAAAGCAGAACATCTTTAGCCTCAAACTAACACTTGTAAGAATTCTCATCATTTTCCACAATATTCATGTATTTGTTTTGCCCTAATACCTCATCTTTAGTGAGAATTAAAAATATATGTATACCATTAGGTACAACTTCTGGCAGAAAGTAGGTATTCAATAAATGTTAACTGTCAGCTATTCTACTTACATTTGTTATGTTCTAATTCAGTCAAGCAATTTTCATTTCTTACAGATCTCCCTGTTTCTATACTGCAATTTATTTTTTACACTGACATGTTTCTGATGGTGCCCCTCATCTGCATGCAAGATAAAACCTAAACACTTGACTCATTCATTTTGTTGTTCATTGAATATTACAAAATATCAATTACATGCCAGTCTTAATTCAATGGAATGCCTGTTACCTATACTTACCAATTAACTCACTGTTTCATAAAGTTATACTTCTAAGCCACAGATTTTATTGTAACATTTCTCTAAATAAAAGATAAAATGCAAATTTCTCATAGGTATCGCTTGCTCTGAATACCTATTCTTTGGAAACATGAAGTCACATAAGAGTGTCTATGCTCTCAAGGAACTTCTTAATGGTAGACAAACCATAAAAACAGAGAACAATAAACAAATAATAAAAAAACAAATATAAGAAATATTCCCAAGTAGCACTGCTATCTAAGCTGAAGCTTTTATAGCCTCTACTCAAGATAATCTCAAGCCACTTCATCCATAACCCTAACACACTAGGTTGCTCTAAAATTTTCACTGCTCTCCCCAAATGGTATGTGTTTTCATACTTTAATAATGTTGTTTATATTGAGAGTGCTGGTACTTTGGAACTAGACAGAGGTAGATCGTTTATTAACTGGATAAGTTTGGCAAATCAATTAATTCCCTTTGGTCTCAGTTTTTCTTTCATAAAGTTACAGTAACAATCATACTACTTCATAAGGCTGTTTTGAGAATTAGTTTAACTAAGATAAGGAATATAAAACACTAACGTATGGTATGTATGACCAATAAATGTTAGCTATTATAATTTTTTTCTTGAGTCAAAATTGAAAGTTTCCGCTGCCATGAGTGGTGGCGCATGCCTATAATCCCAGCAGCTCAGGAGGCTAAGGCACAAAGATTCTGAGTTCAAAGCCAGCCTCAGCAAAAGCGAGATGCTAAGCAACTCAGTGAGACTCTGTCTCCAAATAAAATACAAAATAGGGCTGGGGATGTGGCTCAGTGGTCAAGTGACCCTGAGTTCAATCCCCCACACCCTCCCCCCAGCAAATTGAAAGTTTCTATTAAAACCTTTTACCCAATCATTAGACTCCTATCACAGAACAAAAAGTTTTCAAATTTACCTTGAATGAGGAACTGAGTCATTGGGTCTAACCTTCAAAAGGCAACCTGAGCCCACCATGTCTGTCTGCAATTCCAGAGAGACTCAAGAGGAATTGTTTGACCCTGATATCCCTGAGGAAGGAGGATTATAAGTTCCAGGCCTGACTCACCACTTAGTGAAACCCTGTCTCAAAATAAAAAATACAAAAAGAACTGTAGATGTGGTCAGTGGTTAAACACCCCTGGGTTCAATCCCTAGTATCAAAAAAAAAAGGTAACCTGAATAATGGTTTATACAGTGACTCTCAAATTTTTTTTTAATCACAACTTTCATTAAGATAAAAACCTTACACAGTTTACCATCACTTACATGTGTATGTGTGTATACAACAAAGTCACAAGAAATAAAACCTTCTATATACAAAGCACATTTATTTCCATTTCTAGTCTTTAAAAAATATGTTATCTATTCATCACAATTTACTAACTTGATTTTTATGATCCATAGCTACAAAGACACTGGCTCAGACTACCTCCCTCATTCACTTTTAAAGAAAGTAACCTATTTTTAAGTCTTTTTCCTGTTGCTTCATGCTTCTAAGAGAGTACTGATGAATAAATAATGCTGAAATTGGCTTTTAACATCAATGTGGCCATGGTGCTACAACATATTCAACTTAATATATTTTATTACCATCTTCTAAACAAAGACCCATGTTCACCTGATAGTCTCTGAGTTAATCAAGAAAGTGCTGTTATTAAACCTGTACTATTAACTGAAAGCTATCCAACAGAACTAAGGTTTTTCCTCTTTGTAATGGCAAAATGCCCTGTGATTCAAGCCTGAGTCACTCTAACCACAAATGGAATATTAACATGCTCTTAAAGATATCAACAGTTGGCCTCCTGGTTCAGTTAAAAACACTGGCATTATTAACTTCTCTACCCACAAACAAGAAGCCTACTGGGAAATTCCATTCCTGCAAGAGAAAAACTTGGCAATTGGTGTCTGAGGGAAAAAATGAATTCTGAACTTTACATTTCATATCCAATAGTATCCAGAATTTCTGTTCATCAAATTGCTACATTAAACACTGGGATGGTAGTAACTAAGTATAAAGATAACACTTCTAATTCACATAACTTAAAATTAAATCAAGAAAGGAGCTGTAAGGAGAGTACAAGAAGATCAAGATTTAGAAAACTTAATGCTTACATCTGCATTGTCACTACTAGGCCGAGATGCATCTCCAGTGCTCCAGTCTGTCCTGCCCAGTCCATCTCCAGGTTCTATTTCTGCCTCACTGCCTGTTAAGGCATCACCTAAAGGCCTGGAGGGTATAACTACAGCTCCATCCTAAAAGAGAAGAAAGGAGGACACACATACAAACATGTAAAAGAGAATGTTCATTACTGGCTAAACAAAGAAACCAACATGTAGACTGCTAAAGGTTGAATACTAATGTGATCAAGAATACTTACTGTTCTACAATTCAAAAAAAAAATTAGTAACTACTAACTCTATGATCTTAAGATGGAATGACCATAAAGACAGGAAAAGGGATATTTTAGTGAAGAGAACAAAAGTTTCAATTTCCAAATGTAGCCAAGAAATACATACACACACACACACACACACACACACATATGTAAATTTACATTATACATCTATAAGTAAAGAATTATTTACACTATAACTTCTGGTTAACTACCTTTCAATGCTTCGGAGTTACAATGAATTGCAAATTCTGGGACAATTGCTATAACATAAGTTAATGTTAAGCTTTTAAATAAGGAACTACATTTTACTGTTCAAACAGGGTAAGACCGTGGCCTTCGCTCAATAATAATAATGTGAAACTGTCAACATTACTCCAGCATAATACTCAAAATGTGACATAGCAAAATTAAAAGTAATGAAAAACACTGTGTAATGAAAAGTACATTGATACAAAAAGGAGACCTACATACTTTGTGACCTTGAATATGTCCATTTAAACAGTTCAGCCCTAGTTTTCTCAACATGATTTTTCATTTGAAAATGAGATTAGCCTAGATGATCTCAAAGAACCCTTTTAGTTCTATTACTATGTGGTTTTCACTTCAGCCTAATTCAAGAAGTGATAGATCATCAGCTTTTTCACATTTTAAATGGCTAAAGCAAAATTTGTCCCATTTTTCTTTCAGATAAAATATAAGAAGCTTTATACATCCTACATATGAACATTACAAAATACATCTGGTTGACATACAAATGCTGAGCTATTTTTTTCTAATGAGACCATTATCTGCATAACATACCTATATAGCAAATTCTATGTAAATCTATTTTTATTTTTTTCCCCTTTTATTGTTGCATTATAATTTTACATAATAGCGGACCTGGTTGTCTATTTTTAAATTAAAATAAAAATATAGTCACTAAGACTATATTATTATAAATGTGTTTTGAAATCCTCAGACTGGGTTTGAATCCCAATTCTATCACTTCTGAACTGTACTAGTTCAGAAAGTTGCTTATCTAAGATTTTTAAACTACATTCGTAAAATGGAAGAAAACAATAGTATCTCACCTCAAAGGGATGTTGTGCAAATTAGAGAATGCTTGCATGTATATTTAGTACAATGTCTGTCACTGTGCAAAATCTTATGTCCCTGTTTAAAAACATATTTACTGCCATTCTGTTTCAAGATGGCAAAATGAACCACAAAAATGCAAATATATTTATCTAAATACATTTTTGTAGTTTATTACATCAAAGCAAAAGCACTGGGTTCTTTTAAAATTATGGAACAAAGAAACATGATATGAGTAAGCAAACAATCAGAAGCCCTTATTTATTTTTGCTAATCATTACTTTTGTAATATTCTACATAGGACATCTCGTCCTGTGTTCGAAAAACCACTTTAAAAAGGCAACTGCAACATTTTCTGACACATTCCCAGAAGAAAATTTTCCTACAAAAAGTTGGGTAGCATTTTTCATAGTGATGCTACCTGAGCAGAGCCTGTGGCTTTGGATAACTGCTCTTGCAGCTGAGGAATGTGTTTCTTGGCTTCTTGGATCTCTTTTAGCAATCTTTGGGCAGGTGTTCGGTTGTAATCTTCCTGCAATAACTGAAAAGTTATAAAAATATTTTGAGGATTAATTATGCCATGAAAATATAGAAAAAGTTCATTATTAATCAATAAAATAGTTGATGGAACTGCTTACAATTCTACGGGACTGTGATTATGATAAACACCAACTCAACTATGCCCACTCACATTTTTACTGGCCTGTAAACAGCCCCCATTTCTACTTTAGTTACCTGTAGCCGTTCCTGTTCTTTCTGCAACATTTTTCTCAGAATTTCTACTTTCTGGTTATGAACCACATTATTTTCTTCCTGGAAAAAGAGAAAATGAACAAAAAAACCAACATGTGGAGAGTGAAGCTAAAAACAGAGAAAACAATATAGAAAATGTTCTGCCTCAGTTCTAGCTATCAGTACTTTTAGGATTTTCTTCATTCCTGCAGTTATGAAGATGGGTATTTAGATCAATTCTTAAGGATAAAAAATTACAAGGACATTTCTGCCCTTCCATTTCATTTTTACTAAAGAGAACTTACAAGAACATTACTAATATTAGTTGGAAAACTGAAATTGCCTTCATTACATAAACAGTATCTTATACTTCCTTCCTTTGGATTCCTTTGCATGGCTCAACTCCCAGTACTTCCTGCCTGAAATATGAAGACAATTCCCTAATTCCTCCTTGTTTCACAACTCTTTAATATTTTACCAATTTAATCTTCCTATAATCCTGTTACAATCATTTCACTCACTTGCTCAAAAGAATGTTGAATGGAATCTTACTGCTTATCCAATTACACGGGTTAATCAGTCTGATAATTGTGAAACATACATAGGCAACTTACTTTTTTCAAGCTCATCTTCTACCATTTACTTGAACAGGTATCAACCAAACAAAAGTCCTGAGTGCTTCCTGAAATATTTGGTGCTTTCTTGGCTCTTTGTATCTGTTTATCCTACTTCCTTTACATGGGTTACTTTCCTATTACCACCACTTAAATGTCACCTGTTTTACAAAGTTCAATTCAAATAAAACCCTTCTATGAAAGCTTTCTTTATCACAACTGGATGTACTTTCTTCCTCCTTTGAACTCTCATAGAACTTAATATTTTTACCCTCACCCTACATGCATTCTGCTTTTGTATTATGATTGCTTGTCTATTCTTGATTCAATCTCAATGAAGGTTTATTATTAAACACCTATTATATGTCAAGTAATATTTCAGGTTCAGGGAGACAACAATTAACAAACAAAAAGCTTCTGTCTTCTTAAATTATACATTAGAAGATGACTAAAGACCTGGAACAGAGAATATCTTAATTATATTTTGGGGGGTGACACATTATTTTGTATACATAGGTGTTTATTATTTGAATTAAATTTGCCATGACAATACTCTGCAATCTTCCACATTACTACACAATTTCATATTAGGAAATTATTTTCTAGAATCTTGAACTTAAATCTGTCAATCAGTTCAATACCTCAAAACTCTTAATATCAAATAAAGAAATCTTTATACAATTGAGCATTTACTAAGAAATTTTCCTACTCTTACCCCCATGAGCACAGGACTAGTGATTCGCTCCATATTCCCAGATGCTCCAGGTGAGTGAGGGGATGTCATGATGGGAGACATATGTCCAATGACTGATGGTTCTACTTCAGAGTCAGCAAGTGGAATCTGGGGCGACCCAGGAGGGCGTCCCTGAACAGTGAGAGCTACATAGGAACCAGCTTGGGGTGTAGAGATGGGAGAAAGAGAAAGGGAAGGAAAATAACATCGTCAAGAAACTTTATATAGCATTTCACTACTTAATCTTTGACAGTTCTAAAACTCCAGTTACGTGAGAAAGTCCCATCATCCACTAATCATGTCTCCACAGAAAAATAATACAATCTCTTTAATGACTGCCCTAAAAATTGAAAAAAAATATACTTTTCTATAGGAAATTACTCATAAGATCAGACTAATTAAAAGAAAACAAAATTTACAATCCCAAGAATATACTTTCCCAATTTAGAGATGATTAACATCAACCAACTACTAATAGATAAGTTCAACTAATTTCCTAAATGTAAATGTTTAAAATCATCATATTTGAAGATGACACTAATTAGGCAGGGTTTAATTGACATTTTAGAATGTAATGGCACAATTTCAAAATAACTTTACAAAATGAATATGACCAAATAATATCCCACAAAAACAGGGAAAAACACAACAAGCAGAGAGTTGTAACTGAAAAAAGTTGGAAGAGTAGACAGAAAAATTCACTAGACACATGAGAGGGAAAAAATATAGACAGAAAAATTATAACACAAAGACTCAACATTATTTACCTAGCATCAAAAAGAAATGAAATGTTCCAAATAAATGACTTTCTAGCTAAACTGGTTTTTTAATGATAAAACCTTTTAATCAAGTTCTTCAATACAACTTTTAAATGTATTTCACACTTGCTTCCCAATTTAATCCTCCCAATAAACTCATTATCAATTATTTCATAATGTATAAGGTTCTAAAAACTATTTTTGTTAACTAAATAGTCACAAATGCTATGTTGCAGGTGAGGAAAGTATAAATACTTGTTAACATTTTTTGGTCTTATTGCTCTGTCAAGAAAGTCATCTATCACCTTACTTGGAAAGCAGGTGGAGTTAAATGGTAACAAGAAAGTCAAACTGAAGCTAGGGAAATATAAAGTATGGAGCCCAAACTTCACTCACTTCTGAGATTCCCAAATACGTACTGCTATCACTTGCAAGCAAAGCTCAGAGGGGTAACTGAACTCTATCTCCTCCCTTTGCAGATAGGAAAATGGGTCCTACAAGCAATGGGGTCTGGCCTACCCATGTCTCACTACCAGGTGGAGAAGTACTATCACTTTGACCCTGAAGTACTTAGAGCTAGTTAGTTGCAAACTCTCATTGACTTGAACCCCAATTTCACTATGAAGAAATAAATGCAGGGGCACTACACATCTGAACCTGAAGATCACCAATTCTTAACCCTAAACTTTGTGAAGCCACTATTCTGGGTTATATAATCATTTACTTCCCTGAGGGCAAGTAAATGTGCTACATGATTTCTAAAGTTCCATTCAGTTCATCAGGCCATTGTGTCTGATTTCTCAACCTCCTCTATCTCAGGGGATGCATGCATAACAATTTGTCTTTCAAATATATGTATTCAATATTATCAAGAACTACAAGGATAGGGCTGGGGATGTGGCTCAAGCAGTAGCGCGCTCGCCTGGCATGTGCGGGGCACTGGGTTCAATCCTCGGAACCACATAAAAATAAAATAAAGATGTTGTGTTCACCGAAGACTAAAAAATAAATATTAAAAAAAAATTCTCTCTCTCTTTAAAAAAAAAAAAAGAACTACAAGGATATAATCAACCACATACATGGAGTTGACAGAAGATAATTATTAGTAAGTTATAAGTTTTTACCTTAGTCCTTCCTTCAATGTAGGGATTGGAAAATTCCAGCCAAGGGGCTAAATCTGGCCCACAAACTGTTTTGATAAATAAAATTTAACTGAAACAGCCACATCCATTCATTTACATATGTTCTATGGCTGCTTTTGTGCTACAATGACAGAGTCTAACAGTAAATAAACTACATGGCTCGCAAAGCCTAAAATATTTGCTATTTGCCCTATTATAGAAAATGTTTACTGATCCTCATTCTAAGGGTTTAAAAAAACAATTAAAATTGAAAATAACATTCACTTACATTTGATTAGCTTCACCACCTCCAAATGGTTTGAATGAGTCACCAGAGTTCCATTCACCTATAAGAAAATGAAAATAGTGTATGCCAGATACATCCTATTGAGACAATGGGTACGTACTCTAATTATAACAGTTACATCAAAATATGTATATATTTGGTTCAAAATGTGCTTTGATCACTTGTCTATAAAGTGTATTCAGCAACAAAATGAACTTGAACACAAAATCAGTCCTCTATTTAAATTACAACTTACTCACCATGACATATGACAAAATATGCCATGAAACAGATTTAAAAATCCTTCACAGTGAAGAACTACTGTAATTAGGAAAAAAAAAATCTCTGCTTTTAATTACAAGTTCACTGATTTTTCAAAGTTATAATAAATCAAAACATGATTAAAAAGTAATGTTTCCATAATGATACACAATTTACTTTTAGTTTTCCAAATATGACCTAATCTTTACCATGAAAATTAATTTTTAGACAGGTTATATGTTAAAAAAAAGTTATACAAAGCCTCCACTAAACTAAATAAATAAAGGTAAAAATATCAAACATGGATTTAACATTAATTTCTTTCTCTGAGGTAATGTTAAAGTTCGAATACAAAAGCACCCCAGATATGTCACATTTAACTATGATATCTAATCTTTGAGACACTCATCTAGCATACAACACTATATGAACTGCACACATACATACATAATATAACTTCTTTTTTTCCATTGTACTAATATATCTTTCAATAAAGATTCAGGTAGACCTAATCTATTCTTTCTAAAGGCTGCAACTAAAAATGTAGTTTCTCCAACCCTCAGTTTACGCACAATTTAGATTGTTCACAAGTTTTTGGTGTGATACAGGCAAAACCAATTTTCCTGTGCACATATCACTTCATGTTTGCAAACTTATCTCTTCAGGTAAGTTCTTAAAAGCAAAATTGTTAGTCAGCATTTAGATACTTTCTTAAAGGTTTTTTTTTTTAATAAGTATTCAACTAAGTTTCTATTCAAGCTTATGAGAGAAGCCATTTATCATGCCCAAACTATGCCAACTATGGATTAGCAATCTTGTAAATTTCCTTACAACCAAATATATTTTTCACTTATCACTTTAATTTCAAATTAACTAAATCACTTAAGTTGAAAATATCCTAATCAATATGCTATTTATTCCAATTACTTTATGAAATTGCTGATGAAATTCTTTGCCTATTTTTCTATTAGAATTATTATTTTCTTAGTAATTTAAAAGTGCTTTTTAAATAAGGATATCATATTGTACAACACATTCAAGATTTTTCCCAAATTATTTTTGTAAAATATGTTCATGGAGTCTTTTCTTGTAAAATAATTTGATTTTAGGTAAACAAGTCAATTGTTTCAAGTGTAATTACTCACAAATCTATTCTATTTCTGCTGGTCAGAATTCAAGACCTGTTTTTGAATTCTCCATTGTGTTCTACTGGTCTACATCTATACCAAGTCTACTTCTAGACTAGAATGACATACTCAAAATTAATCAATTCTTTCTTTCTCTCATTTATATAACACACTTTTTCTTTAGCTAAAACTTTGTAAAGTTCATCTGTAAGAACAATCAATTTGGCAAGTAATACACTGCCACAATTTTATGCATATAAGCTATATATATATAACACACATAAGTTTTATACACATACATACACACACACACACACACACACACGAGTGTGTGTATATAATTTATTTATTATTTTTGTGTGTGTGTGGTGCTAAGGATTGAACCCAGGGTCTTCTGCATGGTAAGCAAGCACTCCACCATTGAGTTAAATTCCCAGCACTCTATATATTTGACAAGACTTTCTTGCTTACAATTAATCTGGACAGAAATGATCTATATAACATAGGGAGTTATTCTCCTACTTAAGAACATACATGCCTACTTATTCAAGTCTTTCATTATGCCATTCAGTAAAAGGTAACATTAATTTAAAAGAAATGAAATAGGGTTTTACAGTTAATGGATCTACATATAATGTGCTTCTTTTTATAAAAATCCTAGTGGAAAAAACTATATAGCTAGTACATGTTGTTTTATAATCTTACCATGAGTGCTGTAATAGTCTTTTCCTTACCTTGATGATTCGATCACCTGTCTGTACTCCAGCCCGCATGGCTGCTCCATCTGTATAAAAAATTAATTACATAATATATTGATTCATTTATATTCATTGATAAAAGAGGAAGTGTAGCAAAGCAGTTAAAAACACAGGCTTAAAGTCAGATGTACTTATTCAAATCCTGCCACTGCCACTCACTATTTCTGTGACTCAGACTTATTTTGTTTTTTTACTCTAAGCCTCAGTATCACCTAAAAAATGGGGACAAAAAATATCCACCTCAATGGACTGGAGATTCAGCTCCGTTGGTAGAGTGCCTGCCTTGCATGCACAAGGCCCTGGGTTTGATCCCCAGCACTCACTCCCCCGCCCCCAAAAAAAACCCTACCTCGAATTACATCCCTCCACATAAAGGAAGTATTCAATATATGGTAATAGCAAAAGGTGATATCATTATCATTTGGGAAAAAGAATTGATAGTTTTGAGCCCATTACCATCTCTTTATCCTTAGCAAAATATCACTAGTGTTATGAAGAAATGAATTCTACAGACTTCTAAAAGTGATGACACATCAAGTGTCATGATCAAGGAGTAACATGATTTCTAAAACTAAGAACTGTTTTCTTTCTATGAAGTATAAAGAAATTCAACTATGGTTAATTCGTTCCTTAACACTATAGATAAATCTAGTACAATAGTCCTTATGACCTGCAATCCCTGCAATTATTCTATTCTGGGCAACAGACACTATTTAAACTTTTCTATTCTTACTGTTTGCTTCCAAATAATAGAACTATTTTTAAAAATGCCTTGCCTTCTTTCACAGACTGTACGAAGACTGGATTGTCTCCACTGACTGTCAGCCCAAATCCATTGTCATCTTTCTGGATGATTACACAACGCTGAACAAGACCTATACAAGATCCACAGAGTAAAGAGAGAGAGAGAGAAAATAGAGAGAAAAAGGTAATGATTATATTTTCGTAATGAACTGTTTTCTATCTAAAGAAATGTACATAGCTCATGAAACTCACATATTATAAAAACACCAACCCATAAATAAAACAATAATATCACAAGAGTCACAAATATTGTCTTCTCATTAGAGAAGTAAAGTAGAATTGTTCCAGGATTAAAAACAGTGATGATAAACTGGAAAAGAAAGTATTAGAGATGGGACAATTAAAAGGAAAGTCCACCCACACATATGCTAATTATTTGTAATATAAAATCCTACACCACTGTACTCTAATTGGTGTTTCACCTAAGAAAATTGAAGACTACAGGACATGAGGCCAGGAGTATCTAATTCCAGAGAAATTCAATCTTAACCTCAATAAAATATACTCAGGAAAATAGAAACAAAGAAAGGGGGTGCTTACAGAATACCTGAAGAAGGAAAGAGTTCAAGGGAAGAAAAACTCTGGCTCATAGAAAAAACAAAAAGAAAGCTGGGCACTGTAGCACACACCAGTGATCCCAAATATTTGGGAAGATAAGGCCGGAGGATCACAAGTGCAAGGCCAGCTCCAGCAACTTAGCAAGACCCTGTCTCAAATTAAAATATTTAAAAAGCGCTGGGGATATAATAACTCAGTAGCAAAGTGTCCCTGGGTTCAATATCCCATACTGTGATAAACAAATAAATAAAAGAGGAGAAAAAAAGCAGAAAAGAGGGCTGAGGATACAGCCTAGTAAAACAGCACTTTCCTAGTATGCACAAGGCCTTGGGTTTCAATCTCCAGCACCACACACACACACAAAAAAAAAAAAAAACAGAAAAGAAAACGAACCTATGGGCCCAACCTATCCTTTCATGTTTTTCATATATTCACCTGACTCCTACAGGACAATTTGTTCCCTTCTACTTAAAACTGTGCAGGCAAGGTGAGAGAAAAAAGGGCTCAACCAAAGAAAGAGGAACATTTCAGACTAGAACCCTGATTACTTGTTTTTATAAAGGATCAAATCTGAAGTTCCTAAACTCTGCACTGGACAGACTGTATATTTTCAGTTTTACAGGAAAAATACACACACACACACACACACACAACATATAAAATAACAAAGAAAAAGATGATTAGAAAAACAAACACTTCTTTTAAATAAAGATTTTTATACCAAGAACCACAATCTTTTAAATAAATCTGATGTACAAAGGATAGGTTTAATATATTAATAATATATTCTTACCATTGTATATGCTTGCTGATAATGATGCACTATGAGTATGTGAGCCTATGAAGTACAAAAGACTAGTAATAACAGGATCCCCATATAGAAAACATGAACCTCAAACTCATATCCCACACAAAGACTAATTTAAAACAGATCATGAGGGCTGGGCATGTAGCTCAGTGGCAGAGCCCTTACCTAGCATGTGCAAGTCCCTGGATTTGATCCCCAGCATCATGAAAAACAAAACCAAAACCAGACCATGAACCTAAACATAAAAGCTAAAACTTTCCAGAAAAAAACATAGAATCTTCAAGATCCAAGGATAGGCATAGATCTCTTAGTAGAAAAAGGGAACCAACTGTAAAAGAAAAATCTGGTAAACTGGTCTCAAAACTTTGAAAAACATTTGCTCTCTAAAAGCACACTGATACAAAAATGAAAAGCCAAGTCACAGACTGGGAGAAAAATATTCACAATATAGTACAAATATCTGACAAAGAGCCTGTATCCAGATTATATCTTAAAAAGCAACTCTACAGTTCAACAATGGAAGACAAATTTTAAAAGGAGCAAAATATTTAAATAAGCATATCACAAAGAAAGATATACCAACAGCCAAAAAGCACAATGCAAAAGTGCTTTAACATCTGCCATCATCAGGAAAATGCAAATTAAAACCACAACGAAATTATTTTCTACCAACCAGAATGGCTAAAAATAAAAAGACTGATGATAACAAATGTTAGTAAGGATATGGAGCCGCTGGAACTCTCACAACATTGTTGGTGGGAGTGTACAAACCCTTGGGAAAACAGTTTGAAAATTTTGCATAAAGTTAAACATAATTTACATATGAACCAGCAAGCAATTTCATTCCCAAGTAATGAAAATTCATATGCACAAAAAGTCTCAAATGTCCATCAACAGATAAATGGATAAACATATTGTAGGTCTAACCATACTAAAAAATTACCTAGCAAGGAGAAAAAAAAAAAAAAAACTACTCACATATACAACAAACATGGATGAATCACAAAAACATTATATACTAATCAAAACAAGCCAAATACAAAAGAGGGTACACATTATATGATTTAAATGCAAAGAGGAAAACCTAAAGTACAGAAACAAAAAAGCAGAATAGTGATTGCGGAGGAGAGGAGTGAGAATGACTACAAAGAGAAACAAAGGAACTTTCTGGGGTGATGGAAATGTTCTATATCTTAATTAAGGTATGGCATGAGTATATTCATTTGTCAAAACTCTTCAAACCTCACACTTAAAATTAGTCATTCTTATTTCAATAAAACTGGTTTTCAACATTAAACAACTTGTTAGCCATCACTCTAGAGATTACTAAGTACTAAGCAGTATTTGTTTTCACAAATTCACCACTCCCACAAAACAGTAAATTGTAATGAGGGTGAAGAGAAATAGACTATAAGAATTCAAACTCTTTCATCTGTTCAATGGCCTCCTTCAAGTAATCAGAAAAACCACAAATCAGAAGGGTATAAACTATATAAAGTTAATATAACATATATAAAGTACTTAGCTCAATGCCTCACAAACAGAAAGGGTTCAGAAATGTTAGCTCTTATATTGTTATGATTAGGGACATTGCCCTTGGAGTTTGCTGCTCGGAAATATATTAACCATCTAGCTGAGTGCAGTGGGTACTCCTATAATCCCAAAGGCTCAGGAGGCTGAGACAGGAAGGTCACAAGTTCAAGGCCAGCCACAGCAACCTAGTAAGGCCCTAAGCAACTAAGGGAAACCCTAACTCAAAATAAAAAGGGCTGGGGATTTAGCTCAGTGAGAAAGCTACCAGTTCAAAAAACAAAAATGTATTACCCATCTATCCATGTCACCATTAAAAACCAAATACGAATACTTTTACATTAATATACTCTAATCATTAATGCAAATGATTCTCAGGACAATCAATCCTCATTCATGTTTTGGATGGGGAAGAAAGAGAGAAGGGAAATTGTCAAGAGCAAGGCTTCTTTTATCTTCTCTAGAAGATGAAGGACAGCAAAAAGTCAAGAAACAAATCGTATCCTCTTAAAAGCTTCTCCTAGGGCTGAAGATGTAGCTCAGTACAAGGCATTTATCTAGCATGCACGGGGCTCTGGGTTCAATCCCTAGTACAGCCAGGAGAAAAACAAAACCAAAAAACTTTACCTAAATATCCTCATGTAAACTCCCCCTGCACCTCTATTTACTCCTATCACATCATGTCACCATCAATGAACATTGATGGTATTTGGTTTTATTCCCTCATTATTATATGCTTCAAAAGTGCAGAGTGCTATATCTTGTTCACTATTTTAGTTCAGAAATTGGCATGTATTCTGGCACAGAAGAAATTTTTTAAAAATTGCTAATGAAATTCAGAAAAGTAGAGGAGTCTAGAGATGAGTGGAAGTCCAGAGAGGGAAGTGATTAAAAAGAAAAAAAATCATAATTACTTTTACAAATATGTCTAGGGTCCTAAGAGGCTGCTACGGGTTAATATATTAGGATTACTGCATACATTATTTACAGAATACTGTAAATTTGCTTTTTCCAATTCATAATAGTTCCAGCCTGATAAACTTCTCTCTTAATTCTGTATCAAGGAGATAATGAGGTACAAGGGATAAAGAGTAAAAGGGAAAAAAGCTAAGCACACATCTATTCATCTTTCTCTTCTCTACATCCCCAAAATATGATTCACTTTTGTTCTTCTAAGTCTACTTGCTAATCTGAGACTCTAGTGTACTTCAACACATAAGAATTACTAGACCTCCACAAAAAGAATGTACTTTACATTTTAAACATGTAATCAGTTCAGAATCTATGAATTCAAATTAATTATTATATTATTATTATTACTAATAATAATTATTATAATACCCTATTGCCTTGTTAATCTGTGCCATCTGCATAAATTTAGATTTATGTCATAATAAAGGGAAAACTAAGTCATAATTCAGAAATCCAATCTCAAATGCTCTCTTCTATGATGTTACCTCCCACTCACAATCAAATCAAATTTTTTTCTTTGTTCTAGAGATACATGATCTACTTGTAGAACAGAAGCTATTCTGACCCACTTCAGGGGAAATTCCACCTTCTGTAAGAATGAAATCATCAACACTGACTAAATTATTACATTATAGCAAAGTCCTTGACCAAAAAACCTACTTTTGTTTTAGCAAATTTGTTTGAGTATTCATCTACTAGTTAGTTAACACTGCAGTCTGCAGGTGCTGTAAAGATAAAAACAAACAGAAAACTACTAGAAGTCTTTGCTCTCAAAGAACTTACATTTTTAGTCGGGAAACAAACAATGAATATCTAACTAAGAATCAGATTATGGTACAGACAAGAGGCCCTATATGTTATAAAAAGAAGAGTAAGAGAAAGGTGGAATCTAACACCAAAACAGACATTTTGAATTTCATGAATTAAAAAATCCCCAAACTAACATTTATCAATTTTACTTTTTCTGGTTGAAGGCCATGGTTTTGTTTTGTTGCTAAATCCCTCACTATGATAAAGTTTATCAATCTAACTATCATACAAATATGTACATCTCTGAATGAGTTTTACAAAATCACACAAACACTTGGATGTAAGCTGTATCCCAGCACTTTATATAGAGACAGAGTATGTTTAAGAAGAAGACAGTAAAAAGGCTTCAACTTCCTTGAAACTCTTATCAAAGTAATATTTTTTCACCCCCAT